CCAAGCTGCATGATAGAAGAACTTGTGCTGCGCACAGTGCTGATACCATTCTCGATGAGAAGCTCAACCTGAACGACTTGGACTACTTTCCAGTCAACCGGGACCCAGGCAAATATATGAGAAGTGTATTGACTGACCTTGATTCAAGATGTCTTTTGGCACAAAGGCGACATAGCCATGGCATGTGTTACGATCCTACAATGAATCAGTGATGAGCTGCACAAATCATAGTGACAATACTAACAATTATTTTCATCTTCATCTCGACAGGCACATCTTTGTGAGCCATGCCTAGTTCGCTCGCCTTACCGAAAAGGACATTACTCTTTTCGGCATCTGCAATTTGAGTAAAGACACTGGTCGCCTGAGTCCTCAAATACTTGCAAAGAAAATCCACCTGTGGCAGAGTTTTTCTGTATTTGAGACCCTGCTCTTGCTTTTCTAACTGTCTTGTGAGCAGATCAAACATTTGAGCGCCTTTCCCTACATGCGCACTTTCTTCCTCGTAGTCTTCAGGTTTAACCTCACCTATGAAAGCTGCTAGAGGGCTATTGGTCATCACTGTTTGAATGTACAGTAATACTTTACCGTGATCAATTAAAGCCTCTTTATCACCATCATCGTTTTGTGAAGACACATCAGATGCGAGCCTATCTATCTCGTGACGAAGCCAAGCAGAAAATGAAGTAAAAAGGTCAAGCTCATCTACTACTTGAAGTAAAATTTTGGCAGAAACAAGATGCAGAGATGCGATCGTATCCATAATCGAAGTTATTTGAGCACTGGAAAAGCCCAATGAAGAATCCGAGCCTTGAAATTTGGCAATCCCATTCAATCGGCTGAGAATGACAGAACAACGATCGAGGGCTGGAAGCATGTTCTCATGAACTAAACGCCGGAGGTTTTCAAGACCTGATACCACGGCCTTGTCCCATCTTTTATGACCCTAAAAATTTAGTACATCTCTACAACGATTAGAAAAAGCAAACTTACTCTTTCTGTCAATTCGTCCACAAGCCATTCCCGCACAACTAGAAAGGTATGGCCAGTTGCGACTGAATGATAAAGTGCCTGTACAATATCTCGATTCTCTTGTTCAGCAAGAGTTTCATTAACGTTTCGGAGGAACCTGCTGGGTAATTCTTGGGTTGACTTCCATTCTGCAAGCATAAGACATTGTATTTGATTGATGTATCTAAGAAGGTTCTCTAAAGCTGTTGATCGCGATGCAAGGATGGAGAGATATTCGCTAGAAGCCGACAAGAAACGAAGATCCATTGGGACGAAATAGATCCTTTCTTCAGATTCGGTGGTTTTCATGAGCAATGCATGAGTCGAATATGATTTATGGCATGCATGTGAAATAAGATATGCCGGACGTCTCTGAACTATGACTGGGGATTTGAAAGATCCTACAACGAATGAGTCGTAGATGCTCAGATGGATGTTGCCTTCCTTCGTTCCAACCACCATGACATCGGCCATGTCATTATCTTCAGGATCGAAGGGTCGGAAAAGTGCATCTAAAGAAGACCTGGAGCTAAAAACTTCATCTCTGGCGTAAAGTGATAAGTCAGAGTTCCCGAAAAAGAAAATAATAATAAAAGACACACTTACGAGGTTCCTCCTGCAGGGAGTACACTTAGCTTCGGCAGGCTAGGTTCAATGTCAAGGAGGGCAAGATCTTTCGGCAAGTCCAAGACGGCCTTCTCTGTTGACAGTTCCTTCTCATCCTCAAATATTTTCTTTAATGTATCTGGGACAAGCTTTGATGCTTTACTCTCAACTCTTCTACCAATTGTATTTGAACTCCAACCCATGCACGTGACCCCAGAGAACTCCTGATCATCTGAAGTTGTAGAGAAATGGTGAACCACCTTGGTACTTTCTGCCCCTATGAGGCGTACAGATCCATCACTCCAGGCGATTGCTAGTAATTGGCCTGCAAAGCTATCAGTACGACGTTATCGACGACTGGGGACGTTCGGTACCATTTGGTTTCCAGTTAATTTTTTCAACACGAAGAGTATTGACTTTTTGTGCAGCCCCATAAACTCTCTGTCCATTCAAACGGTAGATCAAAACTTGCTGGTCTGTGCTACCCAATGCTATCAGGTCCATCGACGGACAATACACGAGCAGTTTAGGATTCACCGTTTGATGCAAAGTTTTCTCGCCGAGTAGCTCGAGACGCTTGACCTCCACCATCTTGTCCGCTGGAATAAAATTGCATCTAAGGCAGAAGGATTTTATCGATAAGGTGGCTGTTTTCACATTGCCCAGTAGCTGGTTGATAGTTTTACAAAAACTACCTACGCGTTATGTAAATATCCACATTGTTGTACGATAGTGAGTACGTAAGCGAGAGTGACAAAACGCTCGTTCTTTCCTTTTCATAATCAAAATACCTGAGCAGATACCCTTACCTGCGTCGTGCTGAGCTGAAGTTTCAATTTAAGATGTACATTGTATTTCATTGTGCAATACTGCAGTGTGATCATGCAAAACATTCCGGAAAATATTATAAAATATCAATAAGTTTTATATTCTACGGCTAGTAAAACAATAAAGATCATGGATTGCCATCCATCCTACGCCATGCACTTCAATCAGATCCCATTCGTTTTCTGCACCCATTTTCTTACTCCACTAGATAAGAATCAGCGACCGACTTGATATCCTTTGAGAAATCTACGGCCTCGTTCAGTTCTAGTAATGTGACATCGGTGACCTGCATAAATGTTAGTATCCGACTGCCATTGAAGAGGTCGGGTATAACTTACATCAACATCAATAAAAGGCTTTGTTTTGGCAAATTTAATTTGCATTGGGAAAAAATCATTCTCATCCGCACCCTGAACTTCGAATTCAAAAGAGCCAGCTCCATTAGAGGAATCCACAGATCCAATCGTCCATTCAAGGCTATCCCCAGAGACTTCATACGTTGCGTCGAAGCTAGATACTGCGGGCTCGCTCGAGGCGTATGGAATAGTAACGGTAACATCCTGAAGAGGATCCTCTCCTGTAAGCTCATATTCTACAGTAATGTTGAGAGGATCGCCTTGTCCACCACCAACAACCCAAACAGTGAATTGAATTGGTAAGGCACTGGTGTCATCTATCTTTGGTTGAGCTCTCCATCTTAGGACACCAACCGAATTATTGACAGGGAAGCCCTTTGAAACATTGTTCATTTGGATGGTTTTAGATCCATTGAACGCTCCCTTATCAACATTTGGATGTGTGCGGAATTGCACTCCATGACTCTGGTTGGCAACGATATCTAATTTGACCTTGGTAAGTGTAGGGTCTGAGATCCTCAAGTTCAAATCACCCTTAACCTCCAAGGAATTGAGTGATCCATCTCGAGATAATTTGGCATTGATCGACTCCGAGATAGTAACGTGGATAGCATCACGGTCCATTGCGGAGGGAGTGTGAGGGGGTTGTTCGGCAGCAGCTGATGTAGGATGATTTGGAATAAGCGGCGATGAAACAGTTTCTTCTACTTCAGCACCCATATCTCCACGAACTCTTTCAAACATGTCTGTAGTCTTCGACTTCTTTCCCAATTGCATTCCTTTGCCTTTCGGTGCGCTAGCCCTGTGAATTGTCAGTGTCAATGATCTAGCAGACGATAAAATAGCTTACTTGAAAGTTTTATTTTTGGCAGCTTCATATGAATCATAGGTTTCCGTATTTGCGGATTGCATAGGTGGTGTGTATGTGGGATACTGTGGCCTACTTGGTATAGCACTTCTACCACTCCTTGAAACCTCCTTGCGCTGCATTTCCAATTGCTTTGCTTTGCGCTTGCGCTCTTCGGTAGCCTCGAGTTCTTTATTCTGGGATATCAGTTAGCTGATTGTCTGAGAATACACATGCACATAACCTACTCTTGAGATGATTTCTTGTATCCTTTCTTCATGACTCTCCATCTCCAAGAATGTCTTGATTTGACTAATTGTGAGGTTTTCCCTATATCCAAGTGTGACGATCTCGTCAAATGCACTAAGCAATTCGTATGCATTCTTTAAAATCTCCCTCTCATCCAAGGTTTTGCATGTGCTAGTGACCACCTGTGCGAATAGGTGCAAGGAATCGATGTCTTGTAAGATGTTGGATTGCTTGTTCGTAATGAGGACCATGTATAATTCGTCCAGTGGCTGGTACACAAATCGCACATTATCTTGCTCCACCGTTGTATGTTGAGTTCCGGAATCAGCCAACTTTGGAAAGGATGCTAGAAGAGCTTCAATTCTAGACCTTTGCATTTCGCGAAATTGCCTGGAGAGGACAGCTTTTCCCCCCCGGGTGCAAATCGAAGCTGCTAAGACAACCTGGGAACTTGTTAGCGAAACAGAAAACAGCGAAATATTAAATAGAGTGGCGCACCATTTTGAGTAAATGTCGAGTGACTACACCTTTCTCAATGCTGTCAGTGAGTTTCAATGTAGACAGTTCAGATCGTATTGCAATGTGTATATCGGACAGTGAACCAAACAATGTTCCGACATGGATCCACACGTGATAGCCAAGCTAAAATAAACGCTAATTTAGCGTTAAGCCGTATGAAGCTCCAAAAGCGCGCTACCACACTTTCATCTTCCACAAGGGTTACCAAATTATCCAGAACGACATCAACTCACTGAACAGTCAACACTCGACGACAAGTAAAAAAATTTGTTAAATCTAAAACAATCAGTTTGTCATTTGGTGGTATTTCAAATTCTTGATTCTTTGCTCATTTGTCCGACATTCCTTTGTCCTACCGTTCCCCACTGCATGTTAAAACCCTTTCACATTTACTGTTACACGCGAAACCAAGAAATCAACCCTATCTTATGCCTGACAGCATTTTCAAAATCAACCTTACGTCTCGTATCAATAATCCCCTTTTACTCTTTTCGACTTGAAATCAAATTCGGTGTTTCCACCGAAAGCTGTGAAGCAACAAACTCATGAGTGTGTCGAGTCTTGCACACCCAACATTTCATACAATGGTGGATGACAGCATGGAGATAGCTTCCGAGCATGGTCACAATACAGCCGAGGAAGATATCGATATCGATATCGATCTCACTACTGGCAATGTTGACGAAGATGATATTCTAGATGATATCGATGCAGATGCAGACTTCGATACCAATATTACCGATGTACCCGCACATGTCGAGACAGACGATCTGATGGTCGACGATGACGGTGATGATGCATCATACCATATGGAGGATGCAGACTTACTGGAGGAGGAAGCCGATGATCACGTCATGGAACAGGAACCTGCTGTTTTGTCGTTTGCAACCGATGAACCTTCCGACACTTCTTTTACTGAGCTACACGCCACAGAGTCGAATTTCGTGGGTACTGGCATTTCCGATCAATTTTGGGACGAGCCACAAGAGCAAAATGAAGTTTTGAATGCGCAAGACATAGAAGTAAATATACATGGCTCAGAAACCGTAGTCGACAATAGTGCCGATAGTACAAAAAAATCAGATTCCAAGGACTCCAAGGAGTTTGCACCTATTTCATTTCCTCATCCGCCCACTGATGAAGACCCACAATCCAATAGCCCACCAAACTCCAACTACGATGGCACTACTCAAGAAGAGCTTGAAAGCAATGTTAATGAGCCACCAAACCCCAACCACGATGACACTACTCAAGAAGAGCTTGAAACCGATGTTAATGAGCCAACAAAATCCATCGAGGCAACTGATTCAAATATATATGCGGAGGATGGAGAACAACTTGGCTTGAGCACTGCATCTGCTGAAAGTGCCCCAATCGATCTCAATTCACATACCGAAGGACAAGAGCAAGAGCCAGAGCCAGAACAAGAGCATCCAGGTCTGAACACGGTCTCTGCGGAAAGTGACTTGATCGACACAAATAATTCTACACTCGAGTCTACGAAAGATTCGGAGTATCAATATCATGCTCGTGGAATAGTAGTCAAATACAATAACCGAAGTTATCCATTGATTAGGAAGTCTTCCACAGATCACCCTAACGATTTTTTCTTCGAAGATTCCTCTGTAGTTGAGAAAACGTTAAATGAGTTTTGCTCCGAGATTCGTAAAGTCCTCGCAGAGGAAAACTTGCCCCAAGATGACAAGATAAGCCTGGTTATCGAGGAGCTTCAGTTAGTGATTGAAGAGGTGAGCCTTGAAGATATTCCACCCCCGTTCTTGATTTTTGCTAACTTTCTCTGTAGACGCAACTCCCAAGCTATCCTCCTGACTTGAGCTTATGCCAAATCATTCGCCTATATGAACAACTAGTCAACAATGACGGCACTGGAGAAATCCCCCCTTTGAATCTGAGACTCGTTATCCAGCCTACTGGTCCTGATAGATTTCTAGCGCTCTCAAAAGGGGCCGCTGAGGGCAAGGGACTACTTGAATTTGTGACTTGGGACGCCGAAAGCGAAGATGATCCGACCGAGTTCGGAGATCAGACGGAACATTATGACAGCGAATCCTCCCCCGACGAGTACAACACCGAGCTCGAGGATGGAGACAAGTCTAAAAAAACCATTGATACACATGACGAGAACTATGACCCTGGTTTCAATCATGACCAACCAAATCAAAACGTAAATTCTACCATTTCGGCCAGTGCTGAAATTCCTCAAGTGGAGCAGGAGGATAGGCAAGGAGAGGTTGGAAATCAAGAGTCAGTATCTACAACGGATCGCAAATCGCCCGAAACTTCGGAACAGGCCAACAACGAGACTGAAGAAGATGGAGACTTTATCGATTATGAAGATGAAGAGGACGCCGAGAAGCCATCGGGCGATGGAGTTCTGAAGTCCGAGTTGCCCGAGGCCAATGAAAGTAGGCCACACAACGGTAGATACACCGATTTCAACTTGCTATGCGTTTTCCCTGATATCTGTTTTTGTTTCACTTGTAATAATCTTGATCTAACTGAACGTCAATCGTTAGAAGAAGAATATCCTCGAACGCTAGTCTCCAACAAAAAAGAGAATGGTTCTGATGAATTAGACGACCAACTTGGCGACGAAACGACCCATACTGATGAAGTTGCACAACCTAAGGAAACTTTTGACGACGTAGGAAGCGACATTGACTACGAAGAAGAGAACGCCGATAATAAGTTCGACGGCGAGGAAGAAGACGGAGCAGCACCAAATGACATTGAAAATGCAGAAAATGAGATCGACTTGAACGCCACCAATGACGAGGATCGTGAGTATGCCTCATACGAGGATAATAACGAAAACGAACAACACGAAGATGACAAAGGCCTTGAGTTAGCAGATGATAGACCAGAAATACCTTGCGATGTTAATGAAATCGAGCAGAATGGAGACAGCGAAGGTTTAGATCTTGCGGATCATACTCTGGAAATAAATAACGTGGAAATTAGTTATGACGACGATGTTGGAGATGGACAGCAGCAGAATTTTGAGGGAGACGAGTTTGATTTAGGTGTTGACGACGAAGAAACCGCGTTCCTCCAAAACTACCAATTAGACGATGACGACACTTTCAATGATAACGAACTCCTAAATATGTCTGTGAGCGAGGTTATCTCCAATACCAATGCTACCTTCGATGACACAGCAGCCGAGACAGACAGCGCTACGTTGAGCAATGCTTCGATCGCCGAACCCCAGGCAACGAAGCTTGATCTCGACAATCGACAAGACCAAGAAGACGAGATCGATTACGATGAAGATGAAAATGAAGAGAATCCCCCATCTCTAGTAGTTGCTCCTCAGCCTCCAACTCCAAAGTCAAATGATTCACCCATTTCGACCTCAGGGAAGAGACCCAGAGCTGATGCAGACTTCGAAGATGGCGATGAATCGAACATCAATGGTGAGTACTTTTTGAATTTTTTCAACCGGTTTAGGAATTGTGCTAATATTGAATAGAAGCTAAGCGAATCCGCTCATGATTTCAACATGCTATTGCCATTATCATTTGGTTCATGCGGCATTTCTACTTGACTTGTCTAGTGTTTACCATTCTGATTATGTTCGCTTCCTCAACGTCTTCGAAGTTTTTCTATCAACTCTGTTTGACAGCTGACAGATACAATATTCAACAACAATTTGATGATTCGGGACAGCCTCGATACGTGAACCGATCGCAAAGAGAATTACTTCAACCGACAATTTCATTAGGTAGGTCTTTTTAGGTATGATGATGTTAACCCCTTCTAATATTTCTCCACCCCCTTAATTCCCCCCCTATTCATGTGATGCTATTCAAATTCGCTCTCAAACTTCTAGCAACTGGTTCTATTGCATACGAAATGCAATTTAGTGGCCGTGGCGGGATTTATAGGAGGTCAAAATTTGGGGAATACATGCAAGGAATTTTCTATGGAGTTGGGGGTTTACAAGATATGTATATGCGCGATACCCCTCGATACAAAACGGTTTGGATTTCGTTGGTATGCAACTTTATGGAAAGCATATGGATGGAAAACGACTGTGTACTTTGGAGTGGTTGCTGTTTGCTTTGTGGGGGGTCTCGAAATTTGGCTATTTAGGTAGTTCGTAGGTGGTAAAAATCTCTGTCGCCAAATAAAAGCACATTCATTATATTATCTAAGATTCAAATCTCATGAATTGACCTGAACCTACAAATTTGAATGTTTCTATTGTCGGAATTTGGCTCGGACATTGAAATGGAATCCGTTGTTCGAAATAAGCTCGGACTTTCAATTCAATCTTTGAATTTAATTCAGACATTGAGAATTGTAAGCATTCCAATCTTCAAACTTGATTGGAACATTGAAACTTTGACATCTGGGTACGTATATACATACCTAGAACAGTACAACTCGCAATGACAGATCCTTCCTGTGCAACTCCAATGACTGTTAATCCCAAGAAGTCAGTCAATCCATAAGTTTGTAAATGATCATGGACAAATCTAGCCACTTAATAATACACCTCATGCTGGATCCTGGGTCCTGGGTAAGCATTCCGTGCTGGAAGAATTTGATGGCACAGCCTCATAGACCCATTGCGTGCGCATCACAGATCCCTACCATACGACTTTTAAGTTTTAGCATATGCGAATCGTTCCTTTGACACCAACCAACACGAAGACAATCAAGTGAGCTACAAGTTACGAGTACAAGAGCTTTTATACTGACCTCAGATCTACATGGACCGATGGGGTATTGGTAAGTGGTATATCTGTTACAATACACTTTAATATAGCACAACGGGTATGGAAGAAAAGGGGCCAAAATCGCCCCAAACCTTCTTGAATTTTGAGGGTGAGGATATAGTATAATATAATAGAATGATATATGGTAGAGCATACGTAGAGTAGAATAGATATATTGATATGTATGATATCTGATGATTTTCGTCAAGGGACTTTGTAATCAAGCTCTACCTCTACATCTACATCTACCTCTACATCTACCTCTACCTCTACCTCTACATCTATCTCTACCTCTACATCTATCTCTACCTCTACCTCTACCTCTATCTCTACCTCTACCTCTATCTCTACCTCTACCTCTACCTCTACATCTATCTCTACCTCTACCTCTACATCTACCTCTACCTCTACCTCTACATCTATCTCTACCTCTACCTCTACCTCTACCTCTACCTCTACCTCTACCTCTCTACCTGCGTACTTGTACACCTAGCATGGTACTTCTTACGAACGTCTTTACTCGACTTTAATTTTGTTTTACTGGAGTACTCCGTGTACTAAATTTAGAGGAACCTGAACTATACCTGGTAGAGTAGCAGCCAGCCAGACCTACCTACCAACTACCTAGGTCCACGGGTGAGCCAGCCCAGCCAAACACAGTTGGCCCAAACAGAGAAATAGGTCAAAGTTCCATGAACCACCTGCATTCAACCACTCAACCATTAAATTCAATCACTCGAAGCAAATGAAAGAAAAGACCTTGACGTTGGTAGTTTCATCTCTTGCTTTTTCAACTCCCTGCCGCTTGCTTGTACTTGTACAGTAAAAGTACACATAGTGCCACCCAATTCGCGAATTTCCGCCCCTAGAAACTTTCTACCTCAAACCGCACTCCCAGCTTCAAGCTTCAAACTTCAAACCTCAATCCTCGACCTCCATATTTCGAACATCCGGAATTTTATAAAAAGTCATCCCACATTGCCAAGAACTTTGTGACTTCAATTATCCAGCATTTCGAAATAATCCTTCGATCCGCTCATTGGATTTCATTCATTCATCCATCCATCCATCCATCCATCCATCCAATAAATCACCATTAAATTTAATAAAAAAAACATCATTCATTATTTGTTGCCTCGGTCGACAGGCATTCGAACTACAGAATTATCACTAAAGCTAGGGGTGAAACTATCTCATGACACTCCACGTCGACTTGCGATCATCACACTCAACAATTTTGCGAAGAACGCTCTACGGCGATAATTAGACTCCAAGAAGTCCCACGATTTATTTGCGCCGATTTATACACTTGCGCTACCCTCACTTTGATATCCTTGCGAGGTTTTTCATGAGCGTGAGCTCAAAAGCTCAACAAATCAAATAGACACCTTGCAACACCGCTAGGAGGGAAATCTTAACTCTGCGCAGTCGAGATGTTGGAAGACAAGTACGTCAATGGCATTCGGAACCCGATCAATCCGCGCATGGGAGTTTTGCTGGGCGTTTCCCACAGGCGAAGGCTGACTGGTGATAAAGATACATAGGGCTGGCTTTAGCCATCACCTCAACTATGGCGATAGGTATGAATATACAGATTATGGCGAAGTAGAAAAAATGAGACTAACATTGCGTTTCCCTGACAGGCACAAGTTTCGTCATAACTAAAAGGTATGAATATTCACATTTCAAATATTGATTTGTAATCATTTACTGACGATTACTTTAGGGCTCATGGATGCCGAGAAAGACACGTTTCGAAGGAGATGGATTCACATACTTGAGGAGTCCGATATGGTGGGGTGGGCATAATAGCATGTACGATCAACTTGCATACCACGCGGGGAAAATTAGCTAATGGGATATGAACAGTAATTGTCGGAGAAATAGCAAATTTTGCAGCATATGCGTTCGCCCCAGCAATTCTGGTCACACCTCTTGGAGCGCTCAGCGTTTTGATCGGAGCGGTTCTAGGGTCATACTTTTTGGATGAGAAACTTGGTACATTGGGGAAATTGGGCTGCGCGACGTGCTTGATAGGATCGGTCATTATTGTCCTTCACGCGCCCCCGGACAAGGAGATCAAGAGAATTGATGAGATTCTTCACTATGCTATCCAACCAGGTATGCTACAAGGCTCCCTCGCTTCTGAAGCATGCTAATATCGGCAGGATTCCTTTTCTTTTGTCTTTTCGTTGCAGTTTTTGCAGTCGTTATGATATATAAAGTCGCCCCTAAGTATGGCAAGAAGAATCCTCTAGTTTACTTGTCGATTTGTTCAACTGTCGGCGGTGTTTCAGTCATGTCAGTAAAGGCATTTGGTATTGCAGTAAAATTGACATTGGGTGGTGAAAATCAATTCATCTATCCCTCAACCTACGTCTTCATTATCGTAACTGTAGTCTGTATCTTGACACAGATGAACTACTTCAATAAGGCATTGAGCCAGTTTCCTACTTCTATGTAAGTCCTGTCCAATTTTGAGCTCGTTTTTTGATCCTGACGTCTACCCAGCGTAAACCCACTTTACTACGTTACTTTCACGACTGCAACACTTACCGCCTCATTCATCTTGTACGGCGGTTTCAACACTTCTGATGCGGTCAACACAATTTCACTCCTATGCGGATTCCTTGTCATTTTTACAGGGGTTTACTTACTCAACGTCTCGAGAACTGACCCTGAAGGAAACAAGATGGTATCCGGTACAGACGGTATAGCAACCGACCCCCTTTCTGGTCTATCGACGAGACGAAGTATGCAGGCCCGCCGAAGCAACGATCCGCACAGGATGAGCATGGGAAGCAACGGGTATGGCCGAGGAGACAGAGAGGGGCTGATCCATGCATATGATGAAGAAGAGAACGCAGGGTTCGGTCTTGCGGACCTAGCAGACGATAGCGATGACGATTCGCTACCTCCACGAGCTATGAATGGGAAAATCAACGGGCATAGCAGTAAAAAGAGTTTCAGCGAACCATTAGAGCAGGAGAGGCCGAGTAGATCATCCAATCGGTGACCTCTCCAATAGAAATATCAGTTTATTTGATGTGATGACACACGTTTCGAAACTATTGCGGAAAAGTTCGGGCTGTATATTTCATATGCTAAGGGTAAGGGTTGGAATTTATTCGTGAGGGGTCGTGCGTGTTTTTTTTCTTGTTTCATTAGAATATTATTTTGGTGGCAGGCTGGTCTGCCGGCTGGGGCTATAACTCAAAGTACGACTGCATGAGGATCAGGCGTTTGGGTTGCTATTGTGTACAAAATGAGACGGTTGGGGGAAAGACATCTATCTGTACGATATCTACATGGGTAAATCAAGGAATGGGCTCTCATGAGGCGCTATAAGCTTAGTTTGACTCTCACTTTTGAATTCAAGCTGAAGTGGTGGCATTTGGTATCACATTTAATAGTATCATGTACATTATTTTCAAGTGTTTTTAAAGCGTAATTTCGTTGGCTAGATGTGAATACAAGTCCGTGAACTATGAACTCGCAGGAAACCGCCCATCCTTATTTACTATTCCATAAAATTTATTCCTCTTGGGGAGCTGGAGCAGCCTCTTCACCAGCCTGTTCCGATGAGCGAGCGGCCTCAGCAGCTGCTTGAGCAGCGGCAGCCTTCGCACCGTAATCCTGGCTCATAGGTTGAACCACACTTTGCTCCTCCTTTGGCTCGATGATGGTGACGGAATCTGGGAGACCCTTGGATGGTCCAGACTTTCCTTCTGGGTCAGATCCTCTCATGATCTTGACCTTGATACCGAGAACACCTTGCTTGAGGAGAACGTGACGGGTGGCGTGGTCAATGAAGTCCTTTGCTGGTTGACCGGAGTGGATCATGAAACCATCAGTGAACTTCATGGACTTGGCACGAGCAGCACGTAATTTTCCAGAAACGACAACCTCACAACCCTTAGCACCAGACTCCATGATGAATCTGAGAACACCGTAGCATGCTCTGCGGACGGCGAGACCGTTAAGGAGCTTGTATCTGAGGGATTCGCATTGAGCGACGGCGGAGAGACCACGGTTTTGGACCTTGGCGGCGTAGAGGGAAACGCTGTTCTCTGGGAACTTGAAGCGCTTTTGGATGAGGGAGGTGAGTTCGCGAATGCGGCGTCCTTGCTCTCCGAGAACTTCTTGCGTGTGGGTTGCGCGGATGATGATGTCGGTGACGGTTGGGGTGACACGGACTTCGACACCGGAGTATCCCTCCTCAGCCAACTCGCGTTGGAAGAACTCGTTCAATTCGGCGTAGAAAACACCATCGGCGACGAACTTTCTGCGCTTGGAGCTGTACACAAGAAATTCATGATTAGCCCGCGAACTTGTTTTTCTTGTTGAATGTTGAATGATCTTAGCAAGGGCATTTCTTACATAGCGGCACCTGGAACACTGGAAGCCATATTGTCTGATTTATGAGTTATGAACCGGTGGGAAAAAGGTTCAACGTCGTCGTCGTGATTGTCGTGTGGTCGATGGTCGCGAGTTCGAAACTGAATCTTGTTAATTTCCTACGAATTCCTAGCGTATGTGGGATTTTAAGCGAATTGGAAGATACAGCCTTTTATTACGAGGCTCCAATAATTTCGTAAGGCTCACAAATTAAAGCCCCACTAGACCCCCATGTGGCATGAGCCGTATAGCTACAGCCTGATTGGAACGAACGTCAGGGATGCTACGTAACTGATATGATATCGAAGTTCAGTTCATGAAGATGATCAAATATCCATAATACAACCAAAAAATTATTCAAAAATATCAACATATCCGCCCTCAGAATTCAGATAAATTACAGAGCTAGACTACGAAAGAAGACTTTTATAACTACAAATGATTTGTATTATTTATACTTCAACCGAGTGCGCCGAGCCATAAATAAAAATGGCAGACAAGCTCAAGATATCAAAGGTTGGTCAAACATTGAACTCCTGCCGCGCAATTGAGAGTTGATCAACTAACTTTTGTAATCACTTCATAGGTGGATGACGTTCAGGTAGTAGCTCGGGGGCAAGCTTCCAACGTTACACTACACTTAACAGCCCATCATTTAATCGTAGTTCAAGCACCTCTTCCTCCGCCGGAAACTTCGCAACAAGCATCACCAACGCAAAAGCGCACAGGGGCTCCGGTCAGGACGAGGGAGTCGTGGATAGCATATCCTATGATAGCATACTGTACATTTCGACCAACTTCGCCAGGATCTGCGCAAGCTTCTTCTATTCGTCTCCGGGGTCGAGACTTTAATTATTATACTCTTAATTTTGCGGATGACAAGCAAGCTCGAGAAACATTCGAAAGCTTAAAGAACTCAACGTGCAAGTTGGGTAGTATTGAAAGATTATATGCGTTTAGTTATAAAGCGCATGGTGCGGAAAAGCAGATAAACGGATGGGACGTATACGACCCGAAGGCAGAATGGAAACGTTTGGGAATAAGTGAGAAGGGGGTTGATAGAGGATGGAGGTTGTCTAAGATGAATCACGATTACGCCTTCTCTCCTACCTACCCAGCCTTACTTCCAGTTCCTTCATCTGTCTCCGACATCACAATCAAGCACGCTGCCCAGCACCGTTCGAGGGCCCGGATACCGGTTCTAACATACTTACATCCTGTTAACAATTGCGCTTTGACCAGATGTTCACAACCCCGGACTGGCATGCGACAAGCCCGCAGTGTACAGGATGAGAAGTTGGTTAGCGCATGTTTTTCGGCAACATCACAGGTTGATGAGGTGGACTCGGTATCTCCAGCGGCATCTAGAAATAGTCCAGCTTCCAGTCAAGCCGATATCAGTACACCGAACAATGGAGAAGTGACAGATACGGAACGTTATGAGGATGAGATGCTTGCATCTGCGTCAAATATCGAGATTATAACCGAGAAACCTCAGGTGTATGGGGCACAGCAGAACAATTTGATTGTGGATGCAAGACCTCAGGTTAATGCTTACGCTAACCAAGTAAACGGCTTTGGTACGGAAAAAATGGAATACTATCCACTTGCTAAGAAAGCATATTTGAATATCGCAAATATCCATGTCATGCGAGACTCTCTGGCGAAAGTGATTGACGCTATTAAGGATGCTGATGTGTCCCCTCTTCCTCCAAATCGAGAACTTTTGGCAAAGAGTGGTTGGATAAAACACATCACTGGTATTCTTGATGGAGCGGCATTAATCGCCAGGCAAGTCGGTATACAACATTCGCATGTCCTCATTCACTGCTCAGATGGCTGGGATAGAACGAGTCAGCTAAGTGCTCTATCCCAGTTGATGCTCGACCCTTACTACAGAACGATAGAAGGATTCATAGTACTAGTAGAAAAGGACTGGCTAAGTTTCGGGCATATGTTTCAACATAGATCTGGGTTCTTGAATCATGAGAAGTGGTTTGTAACACAAAACGATGCTCTTGCTGGCTCAGCAATACAGCCGGGTGGGAACACTGACGGGCGCGGAGATGCTATCGAAAATGCTTTGCTAAGCGCCAAACGATTCTTCAATAAAAGTAACCACAGTCAAGAGAATGTCGATGAAGCAGATGAGGTTACAGTTGATCAATCTCTCAAGAGACCTATTTTAGACACGCTCCCTCAAAGTGATGTTACCAAGCCCAATGAAACTAGTCCAGTCTTCCACCAGTTCCTAGATGCAACCTATCAGCTTCTCCGTCAACACCCCACTCGCTTCGAATTTAATGAACGATTCCTTCGCCGACTTCTCTATCATCTCTATTCCTGTCAGTATGGGACATTCCTCTACAACAATGAAAAGTCTCGTGTAGACGCTCGCGTCAAAGAACGCACCAAGAGCGTCTGGGCATATTTCTTGTCCAAGAAACCGGAATTTACTAATAAGGACTACGACGGAGAAATAGATGATCACGTTAAAGGAAAAGAACGTTTGATCTTCCCTAATTTAGAGGATGTAAGATGGTGGCATCAAGTGTTTAATCGCACGGACGAAGAAATGAACGGACCGCATAATCCTGCCATGGAAAGATATCTAGCACTCAGTGCAAACAACAGTAACGGACTCAACACAACTGCAAGTGTAAGCTCGCCGCCAGGAGCGCCACCCGGTCGTACGGTTCTTGCGGGCCTGGAAGCGGGGACTCCGACGAGACGAGGTTCAAATGGGACGACAACGGTTAGTGGCAATCCATTCGCAAGTCTGAGAGATGGAATTGCGGGGCTGGGAATTGGAAAGGCAACGGGGTTGGGAGGTTTAGGGGGCATGGGAAGTGCTAACCAGAGCGGTCCGGCAAGTCTGAATGGGAATAGTAAAGAAATGGAAATGGAGGTTGAGATGCAATGATGATATCATACGACTGTTAGTTTTGGGATGGATGATTAGGAAATTGCCTATCCAGGCTGGCGTTTAAACCGAGCTGGGGAATGTGTATTTCGGAGAGACGGAGGAAAGGTAAAGGAAGTAAATGGGAGAAGACATTCTTCTATTATATCTCCCAAGGCAATGTAGGAGTAAAGGCGTACTGGTAGAGAAACGTTGTCAAAATGACGAAAAGCTGTTATAACGTTTCATAATTTTTTGATAATTTTTACTCATTATTCATACATCAGACATGCTATTCTAGTAGTTAAATAGCAAAAAGTAAAAGCCGCGAATCGATGTCTTCTTTTGGGAATGTTCTAGCTCGCCTTGTGGCCTATGTGCGATTGATGTGATTTGATAGCTTATAAGAAGACTTCTAGATTGATCTCCAAAGTACTGACAGGATATCTAGTGCATATTAGTATGTTACGTTCCCAAATCTACAAACAGACATAGACTTACCTCAATTCGAATTTATCCAAGACGGTAGGATGCAAGATACCAAACTCTCCAACACGCACCTCCTTGCCTCCAAGCCGCAAATAGATCGCAGCCGCATGACCAGCAAAGAAGGTTGGCTCATCAATCTCCTCAATCCAATATCCATCTGGTTTTGTTGGGTTCTCCTTGATTGCAAAATCCTGTTTCTTGCCCTCTAGCCCCTCCTCATGTGTAATGAATGCGGTTTGCAACATAAGCAGAATGCGATCGAGTAATCCATGGACAACTTCGAAACCACTGGTTTTGCCGTACCAGGCTGCTGCAAAATGACGCTCATTTCGCGATTTACGCTCCAAGCTCAAATCTTTGAACGCAACGTCAGACACTTCAAAGACTTTGAGGGGGAGACTGTGCTTCTTGTTTTCACGGATGGTTTTGAGGAGACCGGGGAGGAGGGATGTGCGGACAACTTGATATTCAGCGGTCTTGGGGTTGGCAAGTCGAACAGCTGTAGTACCATCATCTTTGCGGTTGAGCCAAGCGAAATTCTCGTCGTGAGAGCAGAGAATTAGAGGCATGACTTCGCTCCAGCCTGCCATGGCGGTTTCCGTTCTAACTATGTCACCAAGTTTGTTGATTGGGAGGGGTTGAGCAATGGTGGAGGCTTTGTTTGGGGATGTACGGGGAAGATTGTTGAAGCCGTAAGCAATAGCCACGTCTTCCATGATGTCACATTGGTGAAGAACATCGGCTCTGGTTGTTGGTATCGAGACATCCAGTAAATTCTTATCCTTTGTGGAGGGTTTCGCGGACAAGCACATTTTCTTGAGAAGCTCACAAATTTTTTCTGGGGATTCTGAGAGACCACAGCAGTTGTTGATATAGTCGACCTCGGCCTCAGTTTCCCGTGGGCTGAGATTGGGAGTTGTTCGGGTTTCCTGGTTGTGCTCCGAAATAATCTCGACGGGCTCAATTGTGAATGGTTCCGCGCAGTATTGAGAGAACATAGAAACTATGATATTGTTTACGATTTCTAGTTTTGTGCGGTCCGTACCAGTCATCTCAATGAAAACATTCTTGGTATTCAAAGTAATCTTGGAATGATCTCCGTTAATGATTGGAGGCATGGACATGACAGTGCGATTTGAGTCGTAAATGACTGGATATACTGGTTTGTCCCGAATAATGTGTAGGTATTTCCCCAAGTGTTTGTCGTTCTCATAAAATTGCATTAATTCCTCCGCGTTCATCTCCTTAGTTTGGTTCAAAGGTGTGAAAACGATATCTTTTGGTGGAAGTGCCTCGTATGTGAAAGGTCCTTTGACTGTATCCATATCATGTGTACCAATCGCAACCAAGGTGCGCTGTCGGGCAAGATTCTGGTGTAGTTTGTCTTGCAGCGAGATGAAGGAGTCATAACCATCTTGAGTGAAAGTAACATTTCGCAGGATCGACGCCGAGACGTATGGTCGCACTTTCATAGTATCTTGGTGAACTGTCAAGGTCTCTAAATTTCCACTCTCAGGTTTAACCAATCTATAGTTTGGGAAGGGTTTCTTCTCCCTGAAGACATTCAGCATGAGAGCTATGCCCTCAAAACAGAGCATATCATATCGGTTCGCAGGAATTTCGATTTTAAGCTGTGCAGGTTCTTGCTTTCCGTTGACTATTGGTCTTTCCGAATTTGATGTGTCCTCGTCCAATTCAATTCCAAACTCGAAACATAACTCTTCGAACTCCTCTGTGGTATACCTAAGGTATAATTTAGTTTACTACAACATATATGGGAAGCTGCGGAGTCACAGAAATTGTTTACTCACTCTTGCCCGAGAGCTTCGTAGAGCTTCGCTTTATCAACGCTGATGGTGGGCATCTTGACTGATTAGTTGCGGTTGCAATATTTGCTTCACAGTTTCTTAAATCAATATGAGCAATGAGTTATGAGTCGAAATAATTATTGGTGGGGTTGTATCAGAGGGGTCTGAACTGAGAGGTATACGTGTATGCCTGAGGCTCACATATCAATGGGTCAATGGTTGATTCTCAAAGGTTCAAACTCACCGAGAGCTGTCGCTGCCAACCAACATTAAATCTACCACCTCTTCTGAATTTTAAAGCGTTTGTCCAGCAACGCTACTTCAAATTTCAATTTCATCCTCTTTGCAGCAGTGTGTTTTGAAGGTTCGTTTCCAATAAGTTTCTTTCACTACGAAAACGAAGTCGGAATCTGTTTACAAAGACTCCTTCGTTGCTTCCCCCACCATATGCCACCCAGATATCTCGTAGACCTCACTGACATGTCATCGGCAGTCCCTAGGTCTGGATTATATCATAAGATTTATTCACCTCTCCCGCTTTTTCTTAGTCCCGGAGATTAATTACGAAGTTCCGTCAATCTATCAACAGGAACCTACGACCACGCGATAACCTCCTAAATATTCTCAACCACGAACAGAGTAAACAAACTCAGCACCTCACCTTATTAAACCTCCGAATTCACTCCATAAAGACTTCTACATATCTTCACAATGGCGGACGCTCCAGATAAGACTGACGAGCTCTATCCCATAGCTGTTCTCATTGATGAATTAAAGGTATTGAACCAAGGCGCATCACCTTCGAAGGACAAGGCTTTGTTGCGCAGTACTGATAGCTTACTAGCATGACGACGTTACTTTAAGACTGAATGCCATTCATCGACTGTCAACGATCGCCCTCGCACTTGGAGCAGATCGCACAAGAGACGAGTTGATTCCCTTCTTAGATGGTATGGCGTGCGATATGGAACTATATTTTAGTACAATGGTTGACGATATTATGTAGAATCCGTCGAAGATGAAGACGAAGTTCTCACGGCTTTGAGCGAGGAACTCGGAAACTTTGTAGAATATGTTGGCGGGCCAGAGTTCGGCCATGTTCTTCTATCACCCCTCGAGAACCTCGCGGCCATCGAGGAACCCCTGGTGCGAGAAAAGGTTTGTCAATAGCACTGACATTTAGTTATAGCTATGCTGACCGGATTAGGCTGTGGAATCTTTAAACAAGATATGCGAGGAGCTGTCTTCACAACAAGTCGAAGAGTACTTCATTCCCCTCACGATTCGACTTTCAAAAGCCGACTGGTTCACCTCAAAGATCTCCGCCACAGGATTATATAACGTACCATACAAAAAGGCGTCGCCTCCAATGCAAGAGCAGCTCAGGCAACAATTCGGCCTTTTGGTTCATGACGAAACCCCTATGGTACGAAGACAGTCTGCAAACAACTTGTCGAAATTTGTGAAGGAAATGCCCGCTACAATAGTTGTGGAAGAAATGATACCCTTGTTCCAACACCTTGCCGGCGATGACCAGGATAGCGTGCGTTTATTGACAGTAGAGATTTTGATTGCAATTGCGGAAGTCGTACCAAAGGAGCAACAATCAAGCCATGGAGTTCTACTCACAGCGTTGAGGAGTTTAATCGAAGATAAAAGTTGGAGAGTGAGGTATATGGTAGCTGATAGATTTGAGAAGGTTGGTTTTACTCGGATTGTACGATTCTGGTGGACAGTGTTAACGCAGTTTAGATTGCAAAAGCGGTTGACGATGAAGTTGTAACAAGAGATCTTGTACCAGCATTCGTCAAGTTATTGAAGGACAGTGAAGCAGAAGTACGTACAGCAATTGCTGGGCAAATCCCTGGTATGTCTGGTCATTCCTGTTTTACAAGATACCACACTAAACAAAAGGAAAGGTTTCTGCAAACTTGTCGATCACACCACCCTCTTAAACGACATCATGACTACTGTCGAAGATCTGGTTTCTGATACTTCTCAACACGTTCGGGCTGCTCTTGGTACCCAGATCAGTGGCCTTGCACCAATTCTTGGCAAGCAAGAGTAGGTTTTTTACATCCATAGTTCATGATATTTATGCTTACAAGCTCTATAGGACCATCGATCACTTACTCCCGATGTTCTTGCAAATGCTCAAAGATGAATTCCCTGATGTCCGTTTACATATAATCTCCAAGTTGGAGTTGGTGAACCAGGTCATTGGCATTGATCTCCTCTCACAATCCCTTCTTCCTGCTATTGTACAGCTTGCTGAGGATAAACAATGGCGCGTTCGCTTGGCAATCATTGAGTACATTCCTCTATTGGCCAGCCAACTTGGTGTTCAATTCTTCGACGAGAAGTTGGCTGCTCTCTGCATGGGCTGGCTAGGAGATACAGTCTTCTCTATCCGTGATGCGGCAACAAAGAATTTGAAGAAGCTCACCGAAGTATTTGGCGTCGATTGGGCAAATGAAGCCATCATTCCAAAAGTTATGGCTATGGGAGCTCATCCAAATTATCTCTACAGAATGACCACCTGCTTTGCAATTACAGTAAGCTTCAAATTTTGCCCCTTGCTCAAAATTTTCTAACCTTATCCACAGACACTTGCGCAAGTCGTCAGTCTTGATGTTGTCTCAAATTCTATCCTACCTATGATGGACAAATTAGTAGCTGACGAGATTCCAAATATTCGTTTCAATGTCGCCAAATCATACTCTGAGATTATCTCAGTTCTTAAGAGATTGCCAGACGAGGGTACCGTGTATTCGCTAGAGAAGTCTGGTAGCTCAGAACCACCCTCGGCTAGAGGTCAAGAACTTATCCAAGAAAGAATTCTACCAAATTTGGAAAAGTTGCAAAAGGATGATGATGTCGATGTTCGGTTCTTTGCTACTACGGCTGCAGCTTCTATTTCTGGTGAACCTATGGAAACCTCATAGATAGGGAGGTAAAGATGTCGCATATGGGAACAAAAATGTATCTTTTTTGCGCCAGTAGGTTGAGCATGGTGGCCTTGCTGTTTTCCTGTTATTCTAGATCGGAGCATGAAATCCAGCATAGTCCCTTCTAATAAGTTTTTGATAAGCAACATCCCATATATGCAGATGGTAGGCGATAAAACTGTATAGAAGCAAACCAAATGAGAACGATATACTAAATGATTCAATGTTTGTGATCAATGAATTGTGAAAAAAACTATGGCAGTGCAGCCTCTCGAGAGTCTCGACTTTCTTAGGCGGTGAACCCAATTATTCTGCCGCTTTGGAGGATACGATACCCACCCTCAATACCCTAATGCCATTATCTCCTGCACAACATCTTCCCTCAAGACTGAGTAATATTGCAATTGAACAAAATTACGGTTCAAAATGACTTCAGAAGCATCTAAACCATCACATCTCGATCCATCAGCTCTAGGCACAAAAGAATAGTAAGTATGTCTTATGCTCTCTACAGATGATTTACCCCTCCATACTACCCCTCTATCATACAAATTTTCTCCTTCCTCGCACCGTACTTGCTATCCAGCACATTTGCATCCTCCTCTCTAATATCCAAAGCCATATTCGTTAACAAAGAAGCTTAGTTGGGATAATCTCTATAATCGTGAAATTTCAAACCACGCACTCGATGCGACGGATGTAGGAACGATATGGTTTGATGATTCATCTGCAGAGGATAAAGTCGTAGATTTCTTGAACGGGGAGGTTTTCGAGAAGGATTTATTGGGATTGGGAAAAGGGAGGAGGAGGAAAGATCTTGGACTGCTAGATCTAGGGACGGGAAATGGTCACTTTTTGGTTAGGCTGAGGGAGGGGGAGGAGGATAGTGATGAGGACGAGGTGGAGGAAGAGACAGAGGAAGGGAGAGAAAACGAGGCTCCAGGGAAAAAATGGGTGGGAAGAATGATGGGTGTGGATTATTCGGAGAGATCTATTGAATTTGCGAAACGAATTGCGAAGGATAAATTAGAGGAAGGGGAGGAAGAGGAAACCGAACAGGGAAACGAAATCGAATTTATCACATGGGATATAATGAAAGAAGATCCATCTCCAAAAGTTCTTAATGGAGAACAGGCAAAAGGATGGGATATAGTACTTGACAAAGGGACATTCGATGCTATTAGTTTGTCGGAGGAGATAGATGCGAATGGGAAAAGGATTTTCGAGGGATATAAAGAGAAAGTGCTGGCATTAGTGAGAACGGGCGGAGTGGCGGTTGTTACGAGTTGCAATTGGACAGAGGAGGAATTAATTGAGTGGTTTGTTGGAAAGGAAGAGGAGGAGCAGGGAGAAAGGTTCGAGGTACTGAGGAAGATTGAGTATAGAAGTTTTAGTTTTGGAGGAGTGAAGGGCCAGACAGTGTGTAGTGTTTGTTTTAGGAAGTGTGGAGGGAGCGAATAGATACCGGGAAAACCGTACTCAGAATGTTACATTGAGGGCTACGGCTCGTGGTGTGTGGTTTGAAGGCAGCAATCTCAGAGGGGTCATAGGCTCTCTCTAACTAACCTCGAAGTCAGATGGCGTCGAATATTACAAAAATGAATGTTGAAGTCCAATATTGAATATTTACCAATGCAATACAACACAAAATCTCTATGGAAATCACGCTCCAGTGGTGCTTGAACGGGAGGTTCTTAAATTCCAAGCATGATGTGTACAATTCTTCATTTCATCGAAATGTTCTGGAAAGCACAAATGTTCAAGAAATTGAAGTCTGAAATTGCGCCTCCAATTGGTCTCACAGTTCACTTGCTGTGATGTCTCTGTGGATATAAGAAGTGTCAATTCTGTTCTGTATATTTTTGTCAGGTATATATATAACATGAAAGGCTTCTTTATAATAAAAATAAAGCAAGGTTCCTGTTTCAGAATAATGAAGTACTGTTTGTCTCAAGTGACAAATCGACTCGATGCCTAGGACCTCTATTAGAATTATACTTCCCCATATACAAGGTCATTGACTCACCAAGCCGAATTCACCTAGCCTTATAAAACTTCTCGATGCCACAGATGTGACAATCCCCTAAACGCTCTAGGATGTCATTTTGATGTGCATCGTGTGCGGTTCACTAAGGTCATCGCGGCCTTCAAACTCCTGAGTGCAATTCATATGATTGCGACGTCATCACACAACTGCTAAGGCCTCATGGACCTCGAGACATAGAAGCTTGAAGCCCTTGTCGCAAGAGAAATGTGTGCGAGACGTTATTTCTTCCGGGTCAGGAAGTCCTTCCAGTCATTCTGATTTAGCCCATTCATTGTCTCCTCTCATTCTTCTTTTTCTTCTTGTTTCCAACATTGCCAGTCGCGTTAGTTCTAGGTTCGCTGAGTCCAGCACGTCTTAATCTCCCCAAGAACTTTTCATTCTTCAACTCCTCTTTCGATACCATGAAAATTGTCCTATAAATCGGTCCCACATTATGAGGACCATATGGTCGTGCATCATCACTTGCCTTACGTTTTTCGAAAAATGACTGGAAACAGGATTTAATTGCCGTTTCGACAGTCATTTCTTTGGGGCTCTCGTCTTCCGAGACTGGAGTGTCTGGGCTTACATGATGCTCCAAGTCTCCCTCAAACTCGAGCTCTTCAAACTCCGGTATTTCAGTCAAGATTGGTGAAGGCACTATCGAACCTTTGATCCGAGCAGCTTCCTCCAACGTAAAATAAGGTCCACTGATATAGAGTTCATCAGTAGTATTCTGAGTTCGTGCTTGGGCTGCGTGATCGTTGGCGATGTTGTGCAGGTCGTGGAGGAGAACACGAATCTATTGGCCAATTAGAAATCTTCGGTGGTCGGAGATGACAAGGAGCAAGGGACAGCGAGTTGAGAGAAACCCACTTTATATCAAAGATCATGATCTGCTTGAAGATCTGATATGGAATGTGTGGAAGCACTCACGTGCTCTGAAACAAAGCTAGGTATTCATCAATTGACTTTTTTTCTTGCTCATCTTTGGGACACTTGCTCTGAATGTCTCGAGTTTTGAAATAGGTAATATTTCTATGTGGGTGCGTGACCAGAAGTCATTGTGAATTAACTAGTGGATGAGCTAATGGCGTTATTTTGGTAGTTCTCAAAACTACCGATATATTCACCGGGAGTAGAATTGTGAGAAAGCTCACCGGGGAACTTCCTACAATCATCCTAAATCCTTCTTCTCAAGGGTAGATTACTTCTTGAATTTAGCTCTGAGCTCCCATTACATACGGTTGTCATTCGATGTCAAAATGGGAATATTCTATTGAGTTGACTAGAAATCACTGGCCAGGCTAGGCTAGTACTTAATTTTTGGGATCAGTGGTACTGATAAAATAGGAGCCTTGCATGCAGGGCTGACAGCCTTGTTAAGAATATTACATAATCTCTTCTAGATGAGCATCTATCAATGAACTCGTCGACTCGCAACCACAAACAACAGTTTCTCCAAACATTTCCTATATCAAATTCCTCAATAATGGCGCCAGTCAATAACGACGATCACAATGTCGTTACGAGTAAGTTTTCAATGGTCCATATACTCTACGATCATCATATTAACACTCACAGATGAAATCAAGAACGTTATCCAAGACTTATACGAAATAATGATACAAACGCATAATTACGACAGCGTCGGGCGACCGACTCGTGACATTCTCGAGAAGTCTCTCCTCCAACTCTCAACTTCTCTCCAAATCGTTTCTCATGCCACGGTTCCCGCTGGGCCTCCGACCGGAAAACCCCAATTTGATAGGGTTGCAGGAAAGGCCACGGATCTCGCGTATGTTCCACAGGATGTGATACATTACATAGACAATGGGCGGAATCCAGATATTTATACGAGAGAATTTGTGGAGGCAGCGAGGAAAAATAATCAGTTGATGAGGGGCAAGATGCAAGCGTTTGGAGATTTCAGGGATGTGCTTGCCGGAGAGATGGAAAAGGTGTTTCCAGAATTGGAGGATGATATTAAGATGGTTGTAGAATATACCACTGATGACAAGGAAGAGAAAAAATGAGTGGGCGCTGCGTCGCTACACTACGTGGGTGAAAATAGGTCACGAGGATCTGGGAGAGCGACGAGAGGCGGGAAATGGAAATAAGATCACATATGCAGAGCGAAACAACGGGGGAAAGGGAGTTTATCAGAGAGGGCAGGTTTTTTGCTGGGTGAATAGAGTTTCTAGGAATTAGGATAAAAGGATTATGGGGCATTCAAGGGCTGGATTCGCATGGAGTTCCGGAGACTTACAAATGTGGGACATTGGAGTCATGGGCAATCGAACGAATGGAACATAATACCAACCTGATGGTACTCAGGACCAAAAGGAGTTTCGATACAAGTACCGATCGGCTAGAAAGGATAATCATGCTACAGATGACATCATTCAGGTAACTCATCTCATTTACTCATTTTCTGATATCACAATTCAGTAGTGGGACGAAAACAGTAATGTGGATGCAAATCATGGGAGTAATCATTTTTTGATTTTGTTTGACTTTTCTTTTCTGTAGGTAGGATACAGGGTACAGATAGAAAGCAATTCCAGGCATATATCTCTTTATCGATGATGCAATAAACGCCTCCAAAATAAATAGACAAGCAAGAACGAGGGAATACCTGCTGCCGTCCATATAACGAAGTTTCTCCATCACGCCAAACCAACATCCCATATTCGCTCAACACAGAAGAGCCCTGAAGCTTGCATGTAAAAACTGACAGTAGAAGAAAAAAAACTCTCAGGAAATCGATTCCCATGCATGCTGTCTCCCAAAAACCCTTGAATCCCTAATATAACTCCAATCTCCGAATCTCCTATCTCCAAACCAACCTCTTGTACTCAGTCCTTTTGCAAGGCCCCCCATAAATAAAGCAAAACGTGATATAAGATATAATTCCCAAGCCCAAGTCCAAATCCAGAATGTAAATTTTATAAACTCTCCCTTATAGATTTTCAAAAACAGTCTCGATGACGTCCACCGTAACCCTCACAATATATTCAATGTCCTCTTTCGTAACCAAGTAATTCGGCGACAACATGATGTGATCTCCACACATGCCATCTACCGTGCCGGTCCCAGGATAGATCGTCATATTATATGGGTGTGAGATAGCTAGATCGTGTACCTTTTGCGCAATGCTCAGTTTGGGTTCGAAAGCCACTTTGCTCTTTTTGTCTTTCACAAATTCAATGCCCCAGAAAAGTCCTTTTCCACGGATATCCCCTACGTTGGGATGGTCGGAGAGATGTTGTTTGAGAAGTTTGCCGAGGTATGCACCTTGCGTGCGGACATTGTCAAGGACGTCATGCTGACGGATGATACGTTGAACTTCTAGGGCAGCAGCGGCTTGAACAGGCATTCCTTGGTATGTTTGTCCGTGGATAAATTGTCCAGTGCCGTTGTAGAGAACATTGACGACTTTTTGCGATATCAGTACGCCGGCAACCGGTTGGTAGCCGCCGCCGAGTCCTTTCCCAATGGTTTGGAGATCGGGAACGACGTTTTCGGATTGCCATGCGTGCAGAGTTCCGGTGCGACCCATGCCACACATGACTTCGTCGAGGATGAATAGCGCGCCGTGGCGATGACATACGTCGCGCATAGCTTTAAGGTAGCCGGGGAGAGCGGCGACGCAGCCGAGCGCTGCGCCGACGATGGGTTCGGCGCAGAAGCCGATGACAGTTTCGGGGCCGAGTTCTTGAAACTTGGCTTCGAGTTCGGCGGCTTTGCGAGAAACGAATGAGGCGTCGGATTCGTTGAGGAGACGTTGGCGATAGGGATTGCAGGAAGACACGTGATGGACGTTGGGCATCAGGAAGGGGGCATAGGGTGCGCGGCGTGCTTTGTGGCCTGACATGCCTAATGCGCCTAGAGTGTTGCCATGATATGAACCTTCTCGAGCAATGAAGTTGACTCGTGGAGTAGATTTATCTTTTTCGTAAAAGTACTGTCGTGCCAATTTGCATGTGGCTTCCATAGCCTCGGATCCTACGTTGAATTAGCTTGGGTCACATCCACATCAATGGTTGGCTGTGTAGCTAACTTACCTGAACCAGTCAAATAGACTCGGGCCATTTTTCGGCCAGTGCCGTTTATCAGTTCTTCGCAAAGATCGTCCACAGTCTCGTGGGCATAGAATCCCGAGGCTAGGTATGGAATGCCGGACGCCATTTGCTGGAAAACGGCATTGGTGACTCGCTTGTTGCCATGTCCTAAACATGAGACAGCGGCGCCGGATGTGGCATCAAATATGACTCGTCCGTCTTTAGTGTAAAGATTACTTCCACTTCCTCGTACGATGACTGGAAATTCTTTGTGGAGATGTCGATCAAATAGGAATGTGGTTCTCTTCATGCCAAGTTGAACGGCCCCTCCATTCATATATGAAGATCCATTACTCATCGCCTTGGTGTTGGCGATGTATGCATCTTCTCTATGCGCTTCTGCGATGGCCGCTGGCGACATGATAAATGATGTCTAGAGAATACAGTTTGGATTATGAAGTAAGGAGAAGGGAAGGAGTAGAAGTAAGAGTAGTCAAGTAATATATATAGTCGACGACAGATATGTTCATGAGTTCAAAGTCTTGATATATAGAAGCCAAAGTCGGTGAGAGATATGCAAAGTATTCTTGGAAAGTACTTAATAAGAAGGAGATTCGGAAGTCCCGATGGGAAAAGTCGCCTTAATATATGGTCAAGACAGCATGCGGGTAGTAGCATGATGACGGAAGGAAGGGAAGAAGGAAACCTAGATGGGTCAACAGGAACCGGGATAAGGGCATACAAGAATGGGTCGAGGGGGTGCTAGATTCCGGAGTGGAGATGAGAATATGAGGTTGAGTGAGAGGTGAAATGTACGAGAGAAGTTGATAAGTTGAACAAGAGAATATGATAGGACGATGATCGATCAAAGTTGAATGCAACTTGCCTTTAGTTAGATTAGCCTCACTGGAGAATAGGAAAAAGATCTGGATCAAAAAAGCATAGAATCCTTGCTTTCCACGGTTAGCATGGCGCGGTAGATGGAATTTCTGCTCTACATTGGTGGGGTGGACCGATGAAGGCAGAAGATGCCCTGACGCTAAATTCGGATGACAATTGACGTTAAACTTTCAACGGAGGCATTAGGGACTGGTGGTAAGATAGTAAGTACTATTAGTTACCAAGAGACCAAGATAATAGAATACTAGAGTACTAGAAATATACTTTTCGAAGAACATGAACATGACTAGTTAGTAATTCGCCAAAAGTGGTTAGCACGAACTTACATTCATGGCATTTGTTTGGTCGTTTAATAATTGATGAAGGGGTAGAGTGAAAGGAATGTGTGTGCTGTATTGATTGACCCGATTGCGTGGTATGGTATGAGAGCACCAAGCACGAGCATGAGCATGAGCATGAGTATGAGTATGAGAATGAGAGCATTAACATGAGCAAGAAAATATTGAGGGGAGAGAAAAGGTGTCCGACGAAAGGAACGAGCTCGAGCCAAGAAGACGTGTCAATCAAAGTCCCATCCGATGGTTTAGATCCTGATGCACTGCTATGTGACCGCTCACCGCACTTACTCCTTGACCATAGCCGGGTAAAACTGTTCCCATCAGAGACATATGATCCGGGGATGTGGGTGATGGCACGAAATGGGCATATCTTTGAGGCACAAAATCTGGTGAAGCACGAAGCCCGGCCACATATGCGGCCGGGAGCTCATAGCCGCTCTCCAATGGGATGTTTACCATGTCGTTTTATCGGTTGCTCAAACGAGTCGGGGGTGAGGGCGGGGGCGGAGGCAAAGAAGAAGTATTGTTTCGTTGCCTTGACATGAAGATCTCGGACAGTAACCAGCTTCCTTTGTAAGGATGAAGTAGGAATGGGAATGGACATGGACATGGAAATGGAATGGAAGTGGAAGTGGAAATGGAAATGGAAAGATTTGTGATTCGATTTCTGGTCACGATATCATTAAAGTCGAAGATTAGGATTACCAAGCCGACTTATTTTCCCCCAACTGTCCTTGGTTCCGCTATGGTACCGTGCTATTCTACCTACCCATCGAGCCATTCCATTTTACTATCAAACCATGGGTCTCCACTTCCCGAGTCTCTACTACCTACCAACCAAAACTACCTGCCTACTGATGAATCCCTCTACCTTGCTTGATGCATAATATGATCGAGAGGGAGTATATTGTACGCGTGGAGATTTTGATTTTATTTTGATTTTATTTTGATTTTATCTTTGATTTTATTTCCATTTTATTTTATTTTGATTTTATTTTCATTTTTATTTTTATTTATCCTTTACTTTACTTTACTTTACTTGTCAACTTTCATGCTCTTCATTTCTGTCGATTTTGTCCGATAAGCGCAGGGCAAGGGGCGGCCGAACAACTAAAACTACCTACCTAGGCAGTTGGTCAATACCTTGGGTTCAAATATTGATTAATACGATTGATTCTCGAATGATTGGTTTTATGGCGATTCGACTAAATTTTGAGTTTGATTGAATTTTGCATATCCTATGTGCCAGAGGAGGAAAAACAAAAACGAAAGTGGACATAGGGTGACGGGTAAAGGTCCATCCAGACAAATCCTTGGAAAAGGATAAGAAGGGGTGTGAGAACCGTTGAAAAAAAAAACCTATGAGGAGATATTTCGAAATGCATATGTGTATGTATGTCAGTCAGTCAGTATGTATGTATGTATGTTATGTTGCTATGGTTGTAAGTCTGTATGTATGTAGTCAGTGGCATATCATTTGCAGTCTTTAGAGGCTGTCTGTCTGTCATCTTATGCGGATTGTTACAAACGCCTAGAGATCGTGGAATGTGATTGATCACCTTTCTTGCCTTGGGGTTACTCAAGTGCGAAACCCATCATTGGGATTTTTACGCCCCCAAATACCTATACAGATGCCATCGATCCATACGGACTAGTCTTTGGGTCTCTTGGTCTTTTGCCCTCTCGCTCCTTGTGCTCTTTCGGAACCTGTTTTCCCCAATGACCTTGAAATGATGCTCCATGAGGTAATACACTCTACTCAGATCGAGTGCAGGAACCGTGCGATACATCGAACTTTCAGAAAATTTGTATGTGAGTGAGGTACATTGCCGAGATGTTCCACTTCGTGAATCTTGTCCACTCAATGCTACATCGTACACATCGGTGCGGTAGTAACAATCGGCTAATTTGTATTTTGCGAAAACCTGGTACATAGATACTTATGGTCGCATCGTGCATCGCAGTCGTCAGTTTTAACATACAATATATCTATCGTGCGAGTTGTAGCCAGGTTCTCGTCAACTGTGCAGCAGTACAGAATTCGATTGATCCGCTTTTCTTTCAAGGCGAGACCTTTGAGATTTCAATCAAGGAGAGCACGAAGCCGTGATATCTAGATCTTTGCATAAAGCGGTAGCCAACCGGGTCGATTTTGTTGGAACGTTTTCGTACTCCTTCTCATCAGCTGATAATATCATACAACAAATGACAATACAAATGCAGTATTGAATGCGAGAGACATCACATTTCCAGAAGTTTGAGATTGATAAAACATAGGCAACATAGGCAATGATTGGTTCGATTTTTATTTCAAAAAAAAACCATCATAATCATAATATCAATAACTTCATCTTGGCCATTTTCCTTTCTTGATTATTTGATAGGTGTGTATTTTTTCTTCTTTTTTTTTCGTCGAATCAAATCAAAACTCTATTTGTGTCGGTCAAATTAAGGTACAAGAACTGCAGGTAAGAAGTGATTACTATATTTTCACGGAGGATTTTTTGCTTGTCTTTTCTGATGCTTGCTGGCCATGAACTCATGCCTGCGACCCTCCTATCACCTTACCCCTTTCAAATTACACAACGATGGACCCAAGTCCTTCCTTCCTTTACTAGCTATCTACATAGAGATATCTGATTTGCGGCCCAACAGCTCATGAATCACGCGGCCATGATTTATGCAACACCGCAGCTGCATGACGGATTATGGAAAAGAGTGTGGAAGAAAAGAGAAGCAAGGCAGGAGAGCGGTGTCCCAAAAAATGAAAGCATAATGCGTGCTCTATTGCAGGAGCTCGGTGATTTTCGTATAATGTTATGGTCCGTCCACTTATCCATCGTTGCAGCATATGTAGGAATGAACGTGCAATCATTCGGTGATCATACGCATACACATACGCATACGTGGGATCAGAACAAGGGTGGGTGAAAGAACTGATGATTCTTGACTTAACCCCATGTCATTCCATGTGTGATACCCAGAATGAGACGGACCCTCATTCGAGTTCATTCCGGCTGTCTGGCACCATTTCAAGGCTTGGCCTTACTTCCATGAATAGGGGTCTGAAAATATACCTCGTAGCCTCGTAGCCAATACACAATTGACAGAAAAACATGCCATTTAGTTATTGCCGACTTTCATCGGCTTCGGGCATCATTCCTTCGGCATCCCGAACATAGGCTTGCCGAGTACGGTTGTAGATCGAGAAAATTTCCGGATAGTGGGGAATCTGTAGAGGCCTAGAATAACCATCGGCTTCTTTTCCTTTCTTTGAGGATCATCATCAGACACTATCCACATCGAGTCAAGGGTCCAAATCTGAACCCATTGGCTAGATTATTGTATGTTCAGAAATCGGGAAAGAATGTATGAATAGCCTCGGCAGATGTCTGAGTACCGTCATATCAATTGATGCTTTGCTTGTAAGAGAATAGGGTCCGCGGGTCCACTCTTGCTCTCGAACTCGGCTAAGGACGGTGAAGGGGGTTTGATCATAAGATCCAGGTCTTGATCTGCTTCGAGATGATATATGATTGCATGGGAAGACACCCCTTTAAAATATCTGAAGTGTGGCGGATGTGCCTGCAGTGGCTGCAGAAATGTGTTCATTAGCGTTAAATTGGACTTTTGGATCTCAGCCCCGAAGGCCACAGACTGGATTTTGAATTGATTCTTACTTAATGACCAATTCCCAGCTCCCAGTGCCCAGTGCTCAGTGCCCAGTCTCCTAATATGTACGTGGCACCCAATCGTATCACCGTGCCGTGCGGTAAAGAATACGATGTATAGTGGTTAAATGTTGAGTCAGGTTAGGGGAATGAAACTGCCGGCACTCAGACTTGTGATGGTTCAATTCCGCGATTCGGATAAAAAGCATACACATTCACATATTCGCATATTATATGATTACACATATGAAAGACTAAAAAGCTTGTCTGAGACTCGAGGTGAGGTTCATCGATTAGCGTGTTTTGATACACATTACATAAGCCAACAAGGTGACCTGCAGGTACCTACTAGGTAATTATTGAATCATATCATCAACGAATGATGATGACGCGGGCGTTTTAGTGGTCTCTAACCTAGGTACGCACTGCACCTTCCAGTTTCGACATTCTTCTTCATACAGCTCATTCATACATCTTATACAACTCACTCTCACATACCCATCTTGATACCTTTCTGCAGTTTATCTCATCTGGATCCTAAACCTGGTCTCTAATAATCCCCTTCTAAATTGTCAGGCAATGATAACCAGCCATCGTTGAATATTTCCGACCTATCCGGGATACACACGATTCGGGGAAAATGTCGGTATCTAGATATCTCCCGTTTGCTTCTCGGGCAACAGACGCGCAAGCAGTGACTTATCTTTTGGCCGTGTGTCTTTTTTCCATCTCCTTTCTGGTTTTTCTCAATAGTAGCGTGTCATTCGTTATCACTGATCTCATTGGAGTAAAGGAAGGCGTGGGGGATCTGGTGGGCAATCTCGTACGACACCCTAAATGTCAATTATCTTTAGGAATTGAAAATACTTACTCGTTCTTAGGGGTTTGCGGATGAATTGGTTGCTTTGTTAGCTTGTCCCGCGTGGGGAATTCTTAGTGATAGACTCGGTGTTCGGGTGGTTTGCGTTCTAGGGTACCTCATTGTTGGCCTTGCATTGATCTTATTCGTGCAAGCAAAGAATGTCTTCCCACAACTATTACTTGCGAGATTGTTCTTTTCAGTGGGGGGAGCTGCTACGTGAGTTCATTCCGAGCGACATCATACGCGCATGCTAACCGAGATTGGAGTGCGACGATGGTGACCGCAATCCTACCTTCAATGTCTGCCCGAGAGACCAACGATTCGCAGAGTTCCCCTATATCGAGATCAGCCTTGCCGGAAAACGTCCGCCATAGTATTGCGACTGAGTCTATAGATTCCGAGATCACCATAACCCCTACCAATTATAATGATCGACGTGGGACCCCCCTTGGCGACCACTCAAAATCCATGAAGCAAACCGGATCAAGCCCCCCGCGTTTGGCCGGCTTAGTTGGATTATTTACAGGTTGCGGGGCACTTGTGGCACTGATTGCATTTTTGCCATTGCCAGCGCAATTCTCGCGGATGAAAGGGGTATCCCAAGGCCAAGCGGTGGCCGATAGTTTTTATGTGGTTGGAGTTGTATCACTCATGGTTTCTTGCTTCTGCTTTATTGGTCTCCGAGGCTTGGCAGGCGAAGAAGGTAAAGGGTGGCGCCTACTTCTCGGTCGACCAATAGCCAGAGATACTGTGGGACATTCTGGAGGACGAGAAGACACGGAGAAGTTTCAGCCATACTGGACACTAATATCAGATTCAACAATTTTAGGGTTTAAAGATGCACAAATTGGTCTTGGTTATTTAGGAGGATTTGTCGCACGTGCCTCCTCAGTTGGCATATCACTTTTTATTCCACTTTATATTAACTCATATTTCATTGGACATGGATTCTGTCAAGGATCTCCAAATGATCCATCACCTGAACTCAAGAAAGAATGCCGTAGAGCATATGTTCTTGCCGCCGAGTTGACTGGAGCATCTCAATTGGTCGCTTTGCTTAGTGCTCCGCTATTTGGCTATCTCTCAGACCGCTACCGTCGTTTCAATATACCACTTCTCACAGCGAGCGTTTTTGGTGTGATTGGATACATAGGTTTTGCTCAGCTTGTTAGCCCTGAACCACAGAATATTGATGGTAGAGGAGGAAGTCCTATAGTATTTGTTTTGGTCGCCTTGATTGGCATCAGTCAAATAGGAGCGGTGAGTTCCTCGACGCATTTCTTCTGAGTTTTCAAATTCATCATCGGCTATACATGTCGCTCCGTCTCACGATGTATTTACGTGCTAAGCTAACTTGATATCTTGTACAGATTGTTTGCAGCCTTGGTTTACTAGGAAGGGGTGTACTTGGTGATGAAGGCGGCTACAATTTATCGTCCCAGCTTCAAGATGCGAGAAGCGATGAGAATACAGACTCACGCGATATAACAACCGAAACAGCACCGCTTATAGCGCCTCCATCATTACATCAGAATCCTTCAAGAAACCATCTCAAAGGTTCTATAGCTGGTGTTTACTCTCTATCCGGAGGAGCTGCGATTCTACTACTTACAAAACTTGGTGGTTACCTTTTCGATAATCTTTCCACGGGTGCTCCATTTTACATGATGGCAATATTCAACGCCATACTCCTTGTTATTGGCATTGTAGCAGGAGTTTACCGCGAAATCAGAACAGCTCAAAAATATCGATGAGCTCATCACTTTGATCTGCGGCATCAATATTTTTGTGCCTTCGCTTCACATGCGCTTGGTAAGATTTCCCACAGGGTGCCCAAGAGTTCTTATATATCGTAGGGTTAATAATAATAATGATTATTATAATCTGAAAAGGATGTGTCAATACTACCTATCTCATTTCGAATGTCCTTCAATCTAGCCCCATATCAGGCGACACCAAGACCTACTACATCAGTACGCCTTGATCGAGCCTATTCTGCGAAACTGACATGTCGATCACGAGCTCTAGACTTTTCGTTTGTGTCTCGAATTCTGAATAATCCATTTCGAGACTCTTGAGGTATTTCTTCAGATAGTGGAAGGTATTCTATGTTACTCTCAACATTCCCTTCCGCGCTTCCAGACTTGGTTTTTGCTATTTTGTGCAAACGATTGCATCTCTTGCTGGGCTTCGATAATTTCTCTTTGAAAACACCCATGTCATCGCTGGGAGTCAAAGCATGACGCTCGAAGTAGTTGCTGGGACCGTCAAATGAGTCAGAATCATAAGGATCCTCCGCCGGGAAGTTCTCTATCGCTGGCCCTTTTGCTTCCGAACATTGCCGATTACACTCCTGACTGGATTTGCCGCCGAGATCTATAAAACTTGTTGAGTTCTGATTGTACAGCTTGATAGTATCACATTGTAGACATGTGCGCCATTCGAGGTTGTGGCCGTGTTTTGGACATGCATCTGGATCTTTGTAGGCCGTATCCGAAATTTGAGGGTTCATATTGACAGGAACACTGTACTGATCTATAAAAGAGACAAAAAGCCCTTGAGGTCTAAACAGCAGCTAATGCAATAACTATAAGGTACCTGAGAGTTATTTGAAAGAAGAAAAAAGGTTGTCAAATTTTTTGTGGTTGTACTTGAGGACACAGACAGGCATAAAGAAATGAAAACAGTCACTACATACTTGCTCACACATTCTATAATCTTTCTACACTCTTTGAGGGACATTTTTCCTTTCTTTGTGCTTGGGGTTAATTCCTGTTTCTTCCCCCTTTGAAGCTGCCTTGGTTTAATGACAGCCTCAACCTTCTTCTCTGCTCTTGTTCGTCTCGTCAATCTTAATTTATGAGAAATAAACACAGCCGTTGGTGCACAAAGAACCTTCAGGTGAGACAGAGCATGACAACAACCGTCACGTTTCTTTGCAGTTGCTCATGAGATCACATGTGTGTGCTCAGCAGGTAATCAAAAGATGCTAGGCCCAATACTCTCCTAGAGCTTCGGAATCGGAAGTATTCTTCTCTCGATTATCTGAATGAACGGGCTGTACAAAGTTCTCGGAACGGAATATAGGAGATTTGTTGTTTCTTGCAAACCTTCCATTGATAACATGATTTTGTTTCTAGTCATTTAATGATTTATCTGACTACTATCATGGTCTCGACAATGGAAGAATGATAAAGTTCGGTGTGTGAAGTATGATTGATATATGTAAAGTACCTACTGGGTACTCATACTCACGCAGTATAAAGAAATTAAATCGATAAAGGGACAGATTTTCCATTAATGTTCCCCAACGGGAGTAATTGAGTAAAATCGTCATTCATACTCAGTTAGGTAGGTACCTGCCTAGGTAGCTTACTTAGTACCTGTAGATCTTCCCCAGTTTATCTCCTCCAAGGACGAACGTCATCAAAGCACAACATGCGACGTTTTTCCTGATTGATGCCATACTCCGTACAAATCTATTACAAGAACATCTTGCTGTCAATCTTACCTATCTATCTAATAATTAAAGCGACGGTGACATTTCAAAGTCATATTCTTCCGTACCTTGATTCAGTCTGCACCCCCGTCCCCGTCGGAATAAATTATTGACAGGTGGGACAACGATATAACCCACTTCTCGTTCCAAAACACAAAAGTACAGCCTACCAGGCACCTACTTGGATACACAAAAGGTACAACATCTTGGAACCTAAAACTACTTTGTCAAACCAACCTGTCAAACTTACATATTTCCGGTGCGAGAATACCAATTGAACCCAATCTAAAGAACGAACAACTACACACCTACCAATAACCAGTTTTCCTTCACCTCTCATCTACATTCTACATCAACACTTCCGATCCTGCAGAAATATATCCCAAGGACAACATCCACGTATCATTCAGGAACCTGATAGATATCTTCTTGTATCTAAGAAGCTTGTTTGATTCGCAAGAAATGTCGGGCATACCGCGATATAACAATGCACCATTAAATGCACGATCGGGTGTTCCTGTCCCTCCCACCGGGCCTTCAACATCCTCTGAAACGGCCGCGCCTGCATCATTATCAGAACCTCTGAACAACAGCAACCCCACCACGACATTACCCTCATCCTCCTCGTATCCACGAGCGCAACCCGCAGCTGCCGTGCCCATTCCTACCGGGCTTGCAAACTCGCAACGTTACGCCCCTCCCCCCGCAGCTGCAGTTACGACGGCCAAACCAGAGCCAACGCGCACGATAAAAGAAGATTCCGATGTACCGCCTGCACCCCAACCAGGTGCTTTCCCCAAGCCGACTGCTGGGTTCGCGGGAAATACGTTCGCATCGCAAACTAAATTTGTGCCTCCGCCTCCCAGAGCGGGGTCTTCATATGTTGTCAATCACAATGCGACTCCTTCGATGCCACCCAATCCAAATGCGGGGGAAGTTGGGACGGTGGAGAATCATACAGAATACCCCCCTCAGATGATGATCCCGCCGCCAAGCGTCACCCGCGCACCGTTTTCGACGACGATGACGATGGATGCGAACACGGCAGCTCAGACATCGGGTTCATATGGGACAATGCATCCTCAACCGGTTTCTGTTGGCAATGCGTATGCTCATCGTACACGGCAGGAAAACGAGGGATATGGACAGCGACGCAGTGTTGAATACCTGGAGCATCCACCGGGATACGTGCAGAATGCGTATGCGGCTGAACTGAGCAGTGATCAAAGGAGAGCAATGGATGTGAATGAGAGGAGAGAAAATGCCAGTGTAGGTGGGGTGAATAGTGGGGGTGAGGAGGAGGGGATCTGGGGGAGTGCAAAGAGGTGGGTTGGGAGTGCCGGGAGTAAGTTGAGTGAGGGGGAAAAGGAAGTTTGGAGGAGGATTAATGGGGAGTAGAGTTTACTGGGGTTGCTGGGGGTTTGGTGGAGTGGGATCATGTGTTCTACGATAGATATGATGATACGATACGTTACGATACGATACCAGACGTGAAAATTCGATAAGATGGTGTACGATTGTGTATGATTAGGTAGCAGTAGACTGATACATTTACAGCTACAAAGGATATTCGGGTAAAGTACTTTTATACAAAGAATATCACTTTTTTATAGAATACTTTATGGGAGCCTATTTTCTGGTATGAGCCAGTGCGTAAGCCACTTCAAACGAATTGACCTGGATAGTGTGCAGACAATCCAACACAGTACCGTGGGTAGATACAACAAGTATCAGCCTCTATACAAATGAAGATAAGCAAATTATTGACACTGATAAGAATAGAAGCAGAACCCCTATCACTTGAGGCAACATGTATTCATCATCACTGGGTTTGAGTGTGATGGAGGGTAGGTAGTATTGTATGAACACAAGTATAGCTGTGAGGAGTTTCGTCACGGTACATAGTATAGCTCCCGTCATCAAAGCATCCGGGGCTTGGAGGATTTGCACAAGGAGTACGAGAGTATGCGATCCTAGAACGAAAAGGTACTGACGGAATGTTTTGCAAACAATGGAAGAAAGGGGGGGGAAAGTCGGTGTTCGAAGACTTGGTATCAGGAAGGAAGCTTTTACTTGTTGTAGATTAGAATTTAGCTGGTGATCAATCAATTGAATGTTTGACACCCCCGTAATTCGAGAAGGGAAAGAGAAGGATACGCGCATACCCAGCGTCATCGATACATTTTTTCTCCCGGGGAGCAAGGGGGAAAGGTAAAGCAGGGGGAGGTCATGGGTGAGTGGGTAGGGCGGGTTGATCTTCATATTAGATGCGTTATATTGATAGGGGTGACAACGTAATCCACAGTGGAGAGAAGATATCAGATAAACGCCCGAGTCGAGTATATCTGCATGAATTCTGCGTACCGATCGGGACGACTGTGGAAATTGAATTGTAATGAGTGCTTGGGCTTGTGTGCTCGAAAGGGAGAAAGGTGGATAATGGGAGTGTGAAGGATGTGGGAATCGGAGTTCCCCCCGCATGGAAGCTGGAAAGGGAAGGAATGATGTAGGGTCGGTGTGGCAGTGAAGACATGGGATGATGTTCGTCTTGCCTTCGAGAAGTGATGTCGTTTCGCGGTTTGAGAAAGATTGATATGTTGTCGTCTGATAGCGTTCGAAGTAGATTTGCACATGACATCTTTGGATATAACGATACCTATTAAGGTCTCTTAGCGGAGAGACGGGATGACAGAATCGCAATGACCGTTTGGAATAGATACATCATAGCCTTCCTTCCAGTCGCATGAGTTGAGGTTTAGTGCGAAAGGATTATCTGCTAGAAGGATATCAGAGAATTCTAGAATGATAAGGTGGGTAGGCGGTGCACGGGATGATACAGTAGGCGAGTGGAAAAGGCTAGAGCTACAGCTAGTGACCTGCCCTACCCTGCCCTACGAAACAGCTGAGTCCCGAAACAGGTACTGGGTGGATTAGACAAAGTGGAGTGAAGCGGGTGATCGGATTTCGGATGAATTGAGAAAAGGGTCATAGCGGGGGATTGTTTGGGAAACCACGGTGCTTCCGTAAAGGTTAGATTGAGGCAAGTGATTTTAGACGCTTGGGATGTGAAAATAGATGAGAAGGTTGTTAGATGAAGAGTCTTTAGTAACCTTATTTTGGAAAAGTGTGTGAGAGTTTGATTGCCTCAAAACGGGCACCTGACTTGACCCCGAACTGAGAGGATATCTTATTAGTTGCCTCGTATCTACGGAGTAATGTATAGTGCGAAGTGGACAGTATCATGACGGTCGCTATACGTTTACGCTAGAAATCCTTCTTGACAGGTCTCGATAACTTTTCCGTTTTGGGAGAAGTACATTTTTGAGCGTCCTAGATGGAGACTAATTGCAGCAATGAATGGGATATACCTACCTACAGATTAGTCTCGTTGTGTTGTCCATTCTTGTTATTCTCGAGTCTTACTGCTCATGGCGTAGTACGAATTTAACATCATGATACGGTCAATCACCAGTGATCGCATGCCAGGAGATATATTAATGTGCCCGTAACGAACGACGAGGCCAGCCGAATTGGCATGGGATTGGGATAGAATTGAATATCCGTGCCTGCCTGTGCTGTCAGTGGTGATCGATGGGCCGGGATGAGAGGAGCTGCTGAGGCAAGCCACATATTATTTGAGGTATGACGAATCGGACATTTAATCGATCATCGGAATCCTGGTTAACAGTACAGTGAGAGATGGAAAGAGGATTTACAGTCGCCGACTAATCGACTATTATGTGACAGGTATCAAGGTTTCTCGGCATCAATCGGTATCTAGATTTGATATAGAAAGAGGGAAAGAGCGAGCCTCTACCTCCTCAGCTAGTGAGTCGCTCAGCCAGTTAATCAAATTGGTTTCAACGACAGAGAATAGCTAGAAAGAAAAGGGAAGTCAGCAATTTGTTACAAACTAAGTAGATACGATATTTTAGAATATGATGATATGTTTCCCCTTCATCTAAAGTATTTACCTACTAGTTTTAGTTTGTATGAAAGATTTAGCTTTTTTACCCTCAGACTGACAGTCGGTTCATTCGGGACGTCTACTTCATCAAGTTAATTGGTTCGAATCTCTTACCTCTCTTACTTGGGTCTTCCCCTGTTTAAAGTTTCATGATGCTTGTCTCAAACACTACCGAGGATGCACGATACATGGATTATTGCAATAGGATGATGGAAACTTGCCAAGATGAGGACTTCTGAAGTGAGTTTAAGAAATTAAGAGTGCGAGTTGAGATTCTGGCGGTGTTCAATTTGTGGAGCGGTGAAGTACAAACAATGACAGAGAGCGAGCAAGATTCTTAAGTCTGAAGCTTCATCGTTGGAGAATTTGAAACTATTTCAAATCAGAATCCTCGGTTCTCTTACAATCTCTTACTTCGTCTATTTCACAAGAGAGTATCGAGAGACGATGCAAGTAACAAAGTATGAGAAAAGGGAGGATGGGATGGATGGCTAGACACGGTGATTATTGGGAAAGAAGATTAATTTAGGGATTGCTAAAAATGACAGTAATTATTTTTATATCGTCTTACTTCTTACTTCTGTCAGCCATCAATTCACATTGATGAAGGGGTACATTCGGTACTGTACGTCTAGCTTAAAATAGATAGATACACTGGTCGGATTTTCAAGTGTGGAAATGATTGAAAAGCCGTTGTTAAATAAATGATAAACAATAATGATTGGTTATTGGTGATTGAGTATTGGGGATTTATCACTTCTGTGCCACTTTAGCCAGCCAAGATATACTTAGCATACAATATACAGTACATATGAGGAATTACCTATCTCCTCTGTACTTCCAGACCCGTCCCCCCTCCCCCCTCCCCCCTCTCCCAGACCAATATCATTTACTTTTACTACACGTCGACCATACGAGGATCCCTAATCCTTTCGAAGGCTTCTTCCTTACACATAGAAACGATTAGGTAGACAATTAGGTTTGAGCATTCTTCTTATTCGTATATATATTATATATCATACATGATCTATTATATCATATTAGGGCTGATATGCTTTGTTGTACAGCTAAAATCGTGGAGCACCCCTGTTTCCGTGTGAAAAATGATCCTCAAACATAAACCTAGTTTCTAATCTACGAAGTATCCTTACCCGTCCGACTAATCTACTCATGGTACCATCTGCTCATCACCAGTGGAGAAAAGAGACCCCAAACTTTCCAACTTTGCCATTCACCACTCACAAACTTACTAATTACTTCAAACAGCATTTGTCAATTCCTCGTTCGACGCCATCTTCGGGCATCATTGGTTGTCGGTTGACCTCGGACTTTTTTGACAAGCCTCAATTAGAGGTTACTCTAGACGTTACAAATCCATCCCCATAGCACCCCGTTGGGATAGTCCGTGGGCTCATGAAAATAATTGGAAACAGGTCGATATCCAACTGTGCAATACCACCGTGGTACAAGCACCAGAGTCACCACCGTCGCCATCGTCATGGTAGCTTAATTCTCACCAACCTCCAGGGAAAAAACTTTCCTTATGTGGGACCGACGGTATCGTTATATACTCCCTCAGCCTACCTGCCTTACCCCAGATACTGCACCTTTAAAGTGTAGTGGCGTCGGATGAGGCAAGACAAGCCACCTCCCTCTACTCGTAGTGCCCTCTAAACTCTCTTGCTGGATGAACACATACACACATACATATCTCATATCGAATGATGTCGTTCCATGATGGGTCAGCGGCAGTGGACCAGTCCCTAGACCCAACCAGCAGCCTTGCAACTTCGATACTGCAACCAAGTGCAATTGTGCTCACTCATATTGCTAAATACTACTAACCCACTTAGATACTACCTAGGTAACTTCAGCTACTATTCGCACAGCTCATCTGTCCTTCCCACCACACCTCCCTCTCCCCCCCCCCACTTCACCTACCCATGCAAAGCCAAGCCTTTCCGGCAAAGCGTACTTTCCAGGTCTCGACCACACAAGTTTTGTGAGGTTTGGCTTGTATCAGGAACGACGCTGGCATGGGTCTAAGAACGACATCCCGATCCCGGGCAGGGCTGCAAATCACGACAGGCGTCCCTCGACCATTTCAAGTATTTTCCCTTTCTTATACCTCATGGATCTCTGCACTGCCCCTCTTCCACCTTTTTCGCGTCGTCCCAATCGCAACTCTTCCTGCTCTATTCGACCAGTCACTCCTTTAAGGTCTCTTTAATCTCGCTTTTCGTTCATCTATATACTGGGAGCTGGCTCTCATAAATTTCAAGCCAGGCTACGTCGATCACCAAACGAGTTTGTTTCTATACTACTTTTCCCCAAGTGCATAGCTCAACTCATCACACTCATTTCCGCTGCCCGACACTATCTACTTGCAGATACATAGTAACCATACCCACATATTCTCATCGCGAGACATCGTTGTCCAATTTCGTTTCACCGGAAACTTTACGCATTCCCTACATATATCATATCAGAGTTGCGCATCCCTCGGATCTTATCATATCTGTTGAAGTTACATACAAATCCTTATAATCCCTCCCGGACCTACATCGACCTTGCCGACACCCCGGATCGGTGGATCATTATATAATACTTTCTTTTCTACAAAACTATCTAACGCTGACGACGATCCTGATAGTTAATCGACCCTTAACTATAGTCAACTGAACTTGATTTACTGTCATGGATTCAAGCCAGGCGCAATCGTGAGAAACCCACATTGACCCCTTGTTCCGATATCATCTTTACTTACATCTAGCCCTAGCCGCCATTCTTTTCAACCACAATCTTCTTTTGATTTTAATCAAAATAACAAGTTCAGAGGAGATTGTCCCCCACGGTCATTTCCACCAGCTTCTACCATGGATCCCAACGAGATGTCTATGAAGCAAGAACCTATAGGATTAGGTATGTGGTCAACAACAACACCACCAAATCCAACCATCAGACCTCGTCCTGCCACCATACATGAGACGGGGTTCTCATACTGCATGCCAGAGCAGGGCAACTATACTTTACCAGCATGGGACTCTTCGACGATGCCAATGCAGCCAATGCACAATGGGCTTTCTCAAGATTATGCAGTTCATCAAGATTTCTTTCCACAATCATCGGTTGGCGACCGTGAACAGCATCAGAATCATACTGTTTCCGTCAACAGCAAAGCTTTCTCTGAATTCGATTTCACGGATCATTGGAACACGAAACCTTGTGACGACGGTATGGAAATGCAAGGTCTGGATACAGACATGCACATGGGCCAAGCTTATACGACGGACGAGGCCGTACCAATTCTCGATCTGAGATGTGGACCTGGAATGGACTCTGATCGACCTAGTTTGGAGCGACCATGGAGTTCGCGGAGGATGTCTGGCTCTTCCTTCACATTGTCAACCACGGGGGCTCTTTCTGAAATGCCATCATACGAGGATTTTTCAACTACATTGTCAGAAGCACCTTCTTTCACTTCAGAGTATCCGCCTCTATCAAATAGAAATTCTTTGATGTCGTCAACACAATTGTCGCCAGTAGCATCCCCTAGAATGACCCCACAAAATAGATCCGAATTGGTAAGAACTCAAAGTAGAGGCAGAGCATCTCCCTCACCTCGGCCTAGTATGCGCTCAGCACCATATAATATGGATAGCAATAGAAGCAAGAGGTGGTCTACGGGATCATACGCTCCTGCACCGAGTAGACGCCCTTCTCCATTCGTCTACCATCAGGGTCAAGAATCATTTCAATCTCCTCACCAACCTCAAATGTCATCCCGGCATTCTTCACCAACGATATCTAATCCCCATTTGCCTCTCAACATGGTCAACTTACAGACGCAACAACATCCATTTATGATGGCCAACAACCTAGCTTATCAACGGAATAGTATGCTTTTACCTTCTCATTCATACCATGAGCCCCATCAATTTGACACCCCACCTCCTTTACTTTCTCACGGTCTCTTCCGCATGCTTCAAAGTAACGCAGATCCACATGCATTACATACTCATTACTCTGATTTGAGTGATCCCCCTGATCTTTACGCGTCCTTACATGAAGAGCAGTTGGCACCTCCGCCAGAAGATATGAACCCATCGGATCCTGATCTCATTCCTCACGAGCAAGAACTACGGTTTGACGGAGATTTATACACACCAAGATGGGTGCGGGGCCATGGAAACAAGAGAGAAGGATGGTGTGGCATTTGCAAACCAGGAAGATGGCTCGTACTGAAGAACAGCGCATTCTGGGTATGTATTCTCCGGCGCTTTAGGCCAAAGTTTTCTTTCAAACCCAACCGTTACTAACATCTGACCTACAGTATGATAAAAGTTTCACACATGGTATTTCAGCCGCAACTGGACAGCCATTTCAAGAGCCGCAAGAAACGCGACGCATGGACGGAAATCCCGATGTATGGGAGGGTCTGTGTGGAAGCTGTAATGAATGGGTGGCTCTAGTCAGTAGCAAGAAAAAGGGAACCACTTGGTTCCGACATGCTTACAAAGTAAGTTTCATATCTTCTCACCTCAAGAGTCCGAGCACACATCGTATTTCATACTTCATATCGGAGAATTTGGAATCAGTGGGTTCTTGATAATTTCTGGCCCTATCAATTAAAATGAACTTGAGACTAATATGAATAATTAACAGTGTCACACTCATCCGAAGATTAAAGATGCACCGAAACGCCGACGTGAATCTAGTCACTCTCGTGCCCTCGGCGCTTCGAATATGGCGAAATCAAAAGCTCACGATTCTATTACTTCGAATCCGCACCAATCTTCACCAATGACACCTAGTGTTACTTCGACACCTCGGTATCAGAGGAAGTCAGCGTTAGGTAGTCCGATAGATGACTTGAGTCCTATGATATAATGATTTTCGTCTTCTTCTCCATCTACAATGTTCTCCTTTCTTCTTATCTGCGAGTTTGTGTTTACATGATTTGATTTGGTGTACATGATGAAAGACTTTTTATTTTCTATTTTTCTTCTACTTTTATTGAAACACATACTATACTTTTTTATTTGATCGATCTTATTTCTTTTATTTTGACAACAGAGGAGAAAGGCAGACAAGCATCTAAGAAGCAGGAGACAACGAGATTTTCAGTTACAGATCCAGTAGTAAGGCGCCGGGCGGGATACCATGCATCTTTATTCTCTCACTTATTTCATTCCACTTTCGTTTTGGGAGCACGGTTGTTGGGCCGGGGATTGGTTGGCGGGATGGTCCAGGAAAGGTATGGCGGATGCAGGACAGACAAGCTAGGGAAAGGAAAAGGAACACTTGGACTTGGGGGACAAAAACGGCTTTCTTTCATATTCACAGTACAAGCTTTATCACAAGCACAAGACGAGTATCTGCAGGCTGGCGTGTGTTATAATTTTACGAGAAAGGAGAAAACAGACGGGGATTGAAGATGCAGAAAGAGTGAAGATTAGGGAGGCGAGGAAGGCAAAGGCAGGCGCAAACAGAAGAGGAAAAAATAATTGGGTTGGGTACCGGTTTTGTCTTTGGGGATTTCATTGAGATGGGGATTTTTCTGGGTGGGCGGTATATAGCATCATGTAGGTTAGGTTAGGTAGCATAGCGATGGGTTTGATAGAGTAGAGTCCTATCATGAGATTTGAGCGCTTGCATGCAACATGAGCGGGCGCGAGGCAGACAGCCAGGCGTGCAATGGCCAATTTAGTTTAGGAGTTTGAAACATGAAATGAGAAATATACTTTTAAGTTTTCTATATTGAGTCTCAACTTTCTGCATGTTGAATGTTGGACATTTGAAATTTTGAATAGATAGACAGATAGATAGATAGATAGATAGATGGGAATGACAGGATCAGCTAGGAGATTGTTTCTCAAATTCCAATTCTAAGATCTATGAGTAAAATCTAATTTGCATACACTGACTGACTGTCACCGACTGCACTTTCCTTCCCATCGTGTTACCTAATTCTCGATTGTAGATACTAAGATACGATACCCCTCTCGCTCTCCTTTCTAATCGCAATGCTTTTTTCCACTTCAGCTACCTACCCAGCACACTCAGCTTTTCCCAATCGAGACATCAAGATACCATGTATATATGTATATATGTATGACTCGCTTGTATGCGAAGGAATAATACCATAAATACTATACTTTATCGTTCCTTCGCTGGGGTATACCAGGCAATAGGAATAGGGAGGAAGGGAACTGGGAAGGGGAGCAGGGACAAAACTCGGGGTATCGGGCAGGGGATTGGTGGAGAGGAAAGATATGGTGTGTATTGGTTTTTGTTATTGATGTCTACCTATAATACCATGGCGATCTAGATGTCATGATCGAATGATTTTATTGATGAGGTATTTGTGATATCACATGATGAGCTGATTATATGGTTGTGTTGGTAGGTATCTAGTGAGCAGACGGGCCGTAGCATTACTGGGTGATCTTGGAATTTGAGATGGGAGGGTCTGGATCGTAGGGCTTGCAATGATTCGGGGTTGTGGACGATGATGGATTTTCGGATTTAACTGATCAACTTGTTGGATGCTCACACGTGTTCTGCTCGTATGTACTAATAGTCAATGTCATGTATTGTGTTTTTAGAGGCCCGTATGACTATCCCGGATGGCGAATAGTGGATAAAGGAAGTGCTATTCATTGGACGCGTATAATATGTTTCTAGATGTTTGGTGTATTTTGTTAGGGTGTGTGAGGTGCTTCGAAGAAGTGCTTAAATGATAATAATGAAGATACTTGAACTCGTTAGAGTGTATGAAGTTAAGATTTTAGACTGTGTGGCTGTTAGATAGAGATTGGAGAATGAAGGGACTTTTTTCTTTCGTCCGAAAATTCCACGGGTTCGGGGGTTGGTGCGAGTCGAGGGCGAGTGCGAGGAAACTGGACGCGTGAAGTGGATGGAGTGGGTTGGGGTGAGTTTGAGAGGTTATGCCGTTAGTAGTGAGTGTGTTATGGTTGAGGGATAAGGGTGTAAGATATGGAGGTGGTTGGTAAGTCGGAATGATGGGAATGGTGGTGATAGGTAATGGGGGATCTTAGCAGGAATATGGATATAGGGCTTAGAGTAGTCGGATCTTGGAAGGGTGGATAATGTAGAACACATTTAGCTGGAAAGCTAGAAGAATTCGGAAGAGATGGCGTAATACAGGGTTTGAAGCAGCCGGACTGAAACTAGATGTCCACGAGAACTCAGAAATGGTACGAAAGACAGGGTGTGAGATGTGCTATACGCTAGAAGAGTCATAAGGCGGGATAGAGAGTCTCGATAAGGAAATGGAAAACAGGGGACGAAGATTTCTGGAGGGATCGAGGATGGCGAAAAAATAGTCATGGTAATCGTGCAGGGAAGGAAGATGGGAAAGTGATATGGAGATTTATGCGTTGTGCTGGTGGGCAAGATATCATACAGTACCGTGAGATCCGGAGAAGGATGCGAGTGTGGATCATGGGATGAAAGCGGGATGGAGGATGCGGAGTAGATGCAATCACTTCAGATTGAAGAAGTAACGTACCAATTGTGTGGTTCATATTGAGAAAATATAGATCAAGGTATCTTTTGATGTTGGATTTTTTGACGTTGGTTGTAGTTAAACGGCTCGTGCGGTGGAGTAAAGTCGTGCCGATGGTTCACCGAGAGAGAATCGATGAAGGCGCTAGAGGTGTGTAGACTTGGACGTCAATTCATGCGTTGGTCGAGATGAGTAAACAAGCAATTTATCGTGACGAATCTCGCGAAAGTTCGATGGCTGCTGTGCCGTTTTATCATGAGAATTGTATATCGTTTATTTAGATATCGGATAGAGGAGCGGAAGTTATGGATTGGAGCGAGGGCTTAGAAGAAGTGATCATTAGATAACCAGGACAGAGCTTGTAATTGGGAAAAGGCGTATTTCCTCCAGATTGGACATAGATTCACGAAGGCGCTCTTAGGTGCATTAGGCTGTATTCAAGAAAAGGCAAAAAGAAGCTTTGTGACAGCATTACAATGGCGATGGACTAATGATTCAGTATCCCCTTTCTTGGAATGAAACTGGCGAAGACAGTACGATAATCTGAGGTCAACATTGCCCAAGTAGTCAAAACGATTGTTGTTTTCATTGGAAGTATTTTAGTTACTTAAGTAGATGAGACAAGCCTGATGTTGGGCGACTGTTGTTCTAGAGATGGGTTATGTAGCGCATCGTGGAGTCTTTTCGAACAATTACCTAGTAAAGAAACCTCAATCCCTATTGTATTTTAGTATAAGACACTCCAATCTCTATCTATCCACTCAATCCTTCTACAACAATATTATTATCGAGCATCGTAAACCTGTAGAGATTGATGACCTCTCCTCTCCTCTCCTGTTACCTTTGTTGATTTCTTATATAATGTTAATCGTGGATTACATTATTGTAAATCATAATCGTCCTCTCAAGAGTGTGAGAATGATCTCAACACTCGTTGGCCGCTCCAGTCAGGTATATAAGCCGGTTCGTGTTATCTACAAACACCTAAACAAAGATCCGGAGTTCAACATCCATCTGACCTCTGGGTGAGTTCAGAGATCACAATTTGGCGTGCTTCTCGTTGCAAAGATGGTCAGCTGTACCAGGCTGATCTGAGCGAGGCTGTATAAAGGATAATATGGCCTTCGTATTGAAGCCTGTTACCCGCTCGATATTTGAGCATTCGCGAGAGCTCAAAAAGGAATCCGTCGAAGTTCGTCAAATACGACATCGTGTAGATGAAGACAAGGAGAACCGAGTACTTATCTACGATTATGCCACATCCAACGTGCTTGAAATGATAAATGACTGTCCTCCTCTTCCTTTGCAAGCAAGAAAGGCCATCCTCAAAGAGCTTGGCCTGGCATTGAAAGATATGCACGCGAGAAATTGGATACATCTTGGTTGGCTATCTTAATCCATTCACAACTTTTGCCCAGAGCTCTCTCCTGACCTTATTCGTATACTCTAGATGTGAAGCCCGACAACGTTTTCATAGACTGGTTTGTTAATATGGAAACCAATTTTGCCTTGAAAAGGTGCAATTGGGCGATTTAGATTGTGCTTTGTACCTCACAGGCACGCATCTTCTAAACCATGAGATAGGAAAAGTGATGTGGCAAAGTCCAGAAGGACAACTGGGGAGGGCAATGGGGAAGCATTCGGAGGTGCTTTCTCTTGGGCTTTTGGCAAGTCAAATTCGATCCTTACAGAGTCCCAGTTTCCAACTATATGGCTCTTTTCAGTGTCTGTTCGTGCTCACAGGGGTTGAACTCTTTCACCTCGATTTTGATAGTCTATCTGTAGAATTGGAGCGGGTGATCTTGGACAAGTTGCTTTCGAACTTTGGGCCGCTTCCGAATGCGCTTGCAAAGCATGTGGATGATGAGAAAGCAGGCGAGCTCTTGAAGGATCTTTGGAAAATGATTGAAGAGGATGAGGAGCGAGCTGAAGAGTATGAACCTTTTGGGCAATGGACTGAAGCTGATTATCCCAATCTTGATAATGATGCAAAGAGATTGATACTCAGAATGACGCATTTAGACCCCGGAAAGAGGGTAGAAATGGTTGATATCATGACAGATCCTTATTGGGACGGGGTTGGATCCATGGGTCTTTTGATACCGAAGAATGTTTTGAAGATGATGCCAATCAAAAATCTAACCCAAGAGAAAGAGATGACATGAGTACTTTGTGGCAAATGTTTGCAACCTGAGAACATAAAAAGTACCTTTAATGACTACCATTTGACAATGGAGGTCGTATGGAATAGCGGAGTACCAACCATTTATCTAGGTACTCACCTCATAATCCTACGCTGCATTAGGGAGTGTGTACTAAACATGTATTAATACCACGAGAGATACTCAAACTTCAGGAGCGTTCTGAACTGGAGGAATAGCCCGTCAATGAAAAAGACAGTTCCTGTGAACATGATGTCCACGAATATGGAAACCTCAAAGTCCAGAGAGCAGAACATAGCATGCCATCTTGTACTCCTCATCTACCACCAGACAAGAGTGATTCATGAGTTTCCTGTCAGCATTTGCAGCGACCTTATCTCCACTCTGAGGCTTTATCCCACAGATGCTGTTAGTTTAAAAGCTTCTCTAATATACACATGCATCATCTTCCTCTCTCACGTCTGAACTCAATCGAACTTACATACCTCACCATAACATCCTGCATGAATGTATTTGACATCGCACCCACAATCGTCAAATATGTGTAGCCAACATGACCAGCAGTAGATGAGCGTTTATCCTGATACGCGATATCTATTGCATCGCAGATATAGTATCTGGCCCGTGGAGAAGCTGGCTCACTATTGGTATAGAGAAGAATGGTGTAGAGTATGAGAAGCTTGGGTACGCAGCAAGTTGTAAATAAAATATCACCAATCACGATATGAGATGTTGGAGATTGGAAATTTGGAGATTCATCAATAATTGTCCCTCAAAAGATAGCATAAACTGATTGGACGGACGTTCAGGGCCGTTTAAAGTGGATGACGGTGATAATGATGATGACGGTGAAGGATGGTGAAGATGGTGAAGATGGTGAAGATGGTGAAGATGGTGAAGATGGTGAAGATGGTTGAAGATGGTGAAGATGGTGATGATGGTGATGATGGTGATGATGGTGATGACGGTGATGATGATAATGATGATAATGGGTTGCTAGGTACCTGTATCTCTGGAGCACAGGCCGATGTCGAAGTGCCAAGGCGCCATTTCAAAGTCAATACAACACAACGATTGTACCTAGATACTCGTAGATAGCTCGTAATTACAGACGGAGACAACATGATCTATTCGCGTGATGATTTTATATTCTTTTCTTTTCTTATATCTACATCCATCTACATCTATGATATAATTATAATTGAACTATCCATCCCATCGTTATATTCATCCGCTCTCTCGTCTCACGGTAATATGTAATCTTTGATTTTTATCCATTCATTTGCTCCTCTCAGCCCAGATCCCTCACCCCCCCCCCCCCCCCCCAAACTTATCGGGCTCAAACGCCCCGGCCATATCTCAGAACGGGAAGGAAACCCCCTTCGTTCGCTCGGTCGAAAAAAGTTTCCTTGATTTGTCTCCCACTACTTTCTCTTCACTCTCACGCCGTCTTTGCACTATTCACACTATTTTAATTTGCTTGCGTCTGGTGTTGAATTGGCCCAGCAACACTCCATTTCTATACCGCCATCTTCAGCATCTCCGACCAAAGAAGGCTTGCCTCCACTTTCATTTGACCATCTAGACACTTGAAGATCTCCAACATACCTCCTACCTAGGTCTTGGTGTTTTCCGTACGGTGCTATCCCTCGAGCAACACTATAGACCAGAGCTCTACTAATTGTAATGTTTTACAACCATCGCTAATGAAGCTCGTTATGATCTTGTACCTTCTATTTGAGCAAGAGATCTTCCCTAGATTGGATTGGACAACCCTTGTATGACTCTGACACCGACTTCAGAGCACCTGAAGTAGCTACTGTAGCGAATTGAGTGTGGATATACCTTCCGGTTGCCTGGAACAATCCCCGCTATTTTGGTAGCTGGAGTAGACGTCTCAATTTCGACCTCTGACCTCAGATTTGGCATCTTTCTTTTAAAATATCTGTTGTTGTGGCAATTGTCTGTTGATTGTTCTGGTGAGTACTGACGTTATCTACTATTCCCTTCTTGAATACCCCCCAGAAGCTTTGCTGACCACATGTGAAACCAGCTTCAAGAAAAATCAAACAGATATACATCTTTGCCATGCTGTAAATTATTCACGCCCTCGATACCAATAGTGCTTTGCAACTATATCGAGTCCTTCCCATCGAGTTATCTTCAACTGCCTCTGCAACAAGTTTCGGGAACCCATCATTTCGGGAGCGGGCGGCTGGCTGCGGGTAGATCAAGGAGGATTACATTTGCTAAGCAAAACTCAAAGAGCTCCACTTCGCAGAAAAAGTCTTGTTATCAGGAAATATCTTTTATCAATTGATAAAGGCTTTGGGATTTTGGAGTGATTGGATCAGAAGTCATATCAACAAGAGGATTGAAACACTGGGGTCTGAATGTATGCAGTATAGAAGGAGGCTGGCCAGACTTGATTCTCGAACCCCATTTCAAAAGGGCGGACGGGAGGAGTTGCAATGAGTTGGGAGCAGCAAGCAAGTTATGAAGGGAGCCAGGGAGGATGGACCCCACAATTTGCAGAAGATTATTCTATGTTCAACGCAACACCTGGGCGTCTCGTCAATGGGCAACGGCCGTTTGTTGATACTTCAACAGCTCAAGCACTGTCATCCCTGACTCACAATGGACATTATAATGTTGAGGGAGATATGGTGACAGATATGGGAATGCACATGCATCAATTGTCACCAAATTCTGGGTTTGCGATAGCTCATACCACATCCCCCAACAAACAGATATCTGCTACTACTGTCCCGCAACCTGCTTCCAGAGCACGATTTAGTGATGTTTCCAAGACCCCCCAAAAGTCAAAGAAAAGGTTGGGTGATCCTTTCAGTGGTCAAACTGCTACACCTCCACATTCTATTGGAAAAGGTACTAGGAAATTAGCCCCAAAAATGTTCAATGTATCGAATAATGCTCCAGTTCAAGGTAATGGCTTTGAGTCTTCTGACTCAAATAATCACCATCCTCAATTGGTAGCACAGTCCTCAACAGCTATGGATCCATTCGGTTATCCAATAACTGCACCAGTATCAACCCCATTCTTTGCAAGTAATAAAGCAATATGGGATACTAGTATGGATGGTATGGATTTGGATTTCTCAACCGATTCAGCGGGTATTTTCCAACAAGGTCATAGGGCAAGCAGTTCTATTGATTGGGGACGAAACAACCAGATGTTTCAAGAATCAGTGAATCCATCGCCTCAAAAATCAAGCGTATCCAAAGTTGAAGCTGAACCCCGCAAACGACATAGACAGATAGCCTCAAAAACTTCCTTACCAATAACTTCAGCACTCCCCACGTCACTTCCACTGTTAGCTTTTAGTAGTGCGACAGCAACCTCGAATTCAATAGCCATGGAGAATTTTCATGGCGTGGTCGATCCTGGTATAATATACAGTCGCCCTAGTACAGGCAGTACGTCCCAAGGAGGATTAGAAAATATGATCTTGCCAGAATCAAGAGCAACTACTAGTCCGATTCGAAATCTAGAGCAACTCGAACCGTATCAACATCAAGTTCGAGAATATACTCGCGAGCAAGAAGAACTTCGTCGATCAAGAAGTTTCAGAGAGGGTAGTATGGGGTATCGAATAGATAGGAGAACTGCTAGCTCGCCAGTCAAGGGGTTTGTACGGGCTGGTACTCGACGGAGTGTCAGTGAGAGTAATAGGGATCAACGTCGTAGTGGTATAGTTCGGATATTCTTATTCCCTGATTTCAAGCTAACATTCTCGACAAGAACCACCACGCTTTAACTTGGGACGTTTATCTCCTGTGAAACAGCAGCGTCATCCAAATCTTACTTCTATTCCTGAATCTCCAGCTGCATTACCAAAACTTCGACGAGATGTCAAGCTCGCCATTGGTAGTAATGGTCGAGCTACTGTTGTTGTTGACGATGAATCGGTGAGAAGTTTGCGACGGTCATCATCTCAAGTCATCGATTATGAGTCAGAATATGATTCTTCTACTGATGACGAACCAATCATCATTCCAAGTCGAAACAACTCTTTCAATCTACCTCAGCAGAGACCACCCAGATTTGATCTATTCGATGCTTCCTCTAGTGACTTTCGCAGACCAAGCACAAGTACAAGCGGCTATAGTCGGTCCTCGGGTCAGCACACGAGCATCGATGAAATGAGTGAGGCAGAAACGGTACTTGATGAGCTCAAGATCGGAGATGCAGCTTCTGCTTTGCGGAAGGTGGTCAGAGAGCGTCGAAGTAATCAACAAATGTCAAAAAATGGAAGACATCTCCGCCTGTACTCCGATACAACCCCTCGACCAGGTCGCTATGCAGAATATACTTCGTCTTCTAATAATTCTCCCGATGGAGCAACACCATCCAGCTCGAGGAGTGGTACTACTCGGTGTATCTGTAACAATGCGGAGGGGGACTCTTTCATGATCCAATGGTGAGTTTGCTACTACTGTTACAGCCTACGTTGTCTAATTCGTTTCAAGTGAGTCTTGTGAGAATTGGCTTCATGGACAATGTGTCAATATCCCAGATCGAAGGACACTACCAAAGGTTTACATATGTGCCTTTTGTGCCCTAACACCAAACATGCGGAACGGTCGTGTGCGAGAGTCTGCAAGAGAGAAGAGGGGTCTGACTTCTTCTCCTCTTACCCACAAATCTTTCAGATCATTTCGTTGATTAAACATCGAATTGATATATCACATGTCAAATTTGAGATTTGGAGCTTGATGGATCATAATTTTAAGCTTCAGCCTTTTTTTACTTTACCTTTGGTTTCTACTGCCACCGGAGGAAACCTCATCAGATGGAGGATATTTTTCAAACTTTCTTGTTTTTAACACCTATCTACCACCAACGTTTTTTTTTACCCGTTTTCTTTTGTCGAAACAGATACCCCCTTTCAAAGAGCATATACAATACAGATCAAAGTCACTATGCATGATTCCCAAGATATAATACAAGAATAAGATTTACGACCGAAAAGAATGGGGGAAGGGGAAAGGGGAAAAGGGAAAGGATAAAGCGGAGTTGGGATTGATTATTGCAGTATGCATGGAGAAGTGCAATGATTTAAGGATTCTTTGGATACTTAGCAATAACACAAAACAAATGCATACATATATATACCTTAACCTACCTGATATTCATCGAGCTCGTATATAGATTGTCTAGACGTTTTTCAATACATGTCCAATAGTCAGCCTATGTACATGCTGGATCGGTCTGGATGAAGAAGAGCATCTGAGTTTTTGAATATATCTGAATTTCAAAGCTCTTCATGTTTTAAGTCCATTCGAATGATTCAAACTCAATTTCTCTAACAACATGTAGAGAAACAATCGTGTTGTCCCTAACCTCAAATCATCCAATCACCACCTACCCATATTGACGACGTCCCGATTTCCGAGTTCGGGCGTGGAGCTTCATTCCGAAATCGGACTTAGTGGGGGCGGGGCATTCAATAAAGTCATTCTTGTTCCCCAAACATTTTCTCGTCCCCAAACAACACAATTCAATCATTCCTCTCTTCTTAAATACCCATTTTACTTATAATTGTCGAATATTCATTAAAGGAAACTTCTCACTGCAAAGATGTCAACTCATAATATTGTGGTTTTTGGTGGTGATCACTGCGGTCCTGAGGTATGTTTGTGTACTTGTTGCTCTAATACCTGTTTGTGGAGAGAATACGGGGTTGGAAATTGTATTGCACAGCCATTCAAAGCCTCAAATCCAACAACTGGAGAAGGAAATTTGCTAATTAACTCTTCTAATTAGGTTGTAGCGGAAGCTATCAAAGTCCTGAAAGTTGTAGAAAGCGATAGACCATCAGTTGGAAAGTTCAATTTCCAAGAACATCTCTTGGGTGGTGTAAGTCTCCACACTTAAGCTCCTTGGCTTCCAAGTCTCATACTTACAACTCATCCCCAATACAGTGCTCAATTGATGCCCACGGTGAGCCTCTCACAACCGAAGCTCTCGAAGCTGCCAAAAACGCCGATGCCGTTCTTCTTGGCGCAATCGGTGGTCCAAAATGGGGAACCGGAAAAGTACGTCCTGAGCAAGGAATCCTTGCTCTCCGCAAACAAATGGGCACATACGGAAACCTCCGACCTTGTAATTTCGCATCACCTACCTTGACCGAGATTTCCCCATTGAAAGAAAAGGTCTGCGAAGGCGTCGATTTCTGCATTGTGCGAGAATTGACCGGAGGCATTTACTTCGGAGAGAGAAAGGAGGACGACGGAGACGGAAAGGCTTGGGACACAGAACCATATAGCAGAGAGGAAATCGAGCGTGTGACAAGATTAGCAGCAAATCTTGCCCTTGCGCAAGACCCCCCGGCACCAGTTTGGAGTTTGGACAAGGCAAACGTTCTCGCGACATCGAGGTTATGGCGTAAAACTGTCACCGACGTCATGGCTGCGGAGTTCCCACAATTGAAGATCGGACATCATTTGATTGATAGTGCGGCCATGTTGATGGTAAAAGACCCAAGAAAGTTGAACGGTATCGTAGTGACAAGCAATTTGTTTGGAGATATTATCAGTGATGAGGCCAGTGTTATTCCTGGTAGTATTGGACTCTTGCCAAGTGCAAGTTTGAGTGGTGTCCCGGATGGAAAGAGCAGGTGTAATGGTATTTACGAGCCAATTCACGGTATGTTTCTATGTTTCTTTGCCGCTTGTTGTTTTACCTCCTTTCCATCAATATTCCATGTTCAGATCTAATAATTTCCTCTAGGCTCCGCCCCAGACATCAGTGGCAAGGGCATCGTAAACCCCATTGGTACCATCCTCTCCGTGGCCATGATGCTCAAATATTCTCTCAACCTCCCAGTCGAAGCTAAAGCCGTCGAAGAAGCTGTCCGCAGAACTATCGAGAAGGGAGTCAGAACCGCCGACATCGGTGGCTCGAATAAGACTGTTGAGGTGGGTGACGCTGTTGTTGAGGAATTAAAGAAGGTCTTGAAGGAGCTTTAAATGTATTAAAAAAAGGAATTTACCAGAGTCGTAGAGTGAGTATACCTGGCATTACAGAATCTGTCATCATACAATGGGTCATAATCGCAATCGTTTATGAAAACGAACGAATTGCTGATGGAGTTGAAAAGTATTTAGCGGTCAAAAAGATCAAAAAATTAATCGCAATATGTATTATCTTGGTCTATTTTGTCTAGGACTCCTCAGGTTCTCATTGAATTTTCTACTCGAAGCACTATCCACGGTCTATCCGTATCCATAGCCACCCATAACAATTTATCTCTCGCTCAATCTCGATCTCCATGTCTCATTATCCATTCCACCTTTCGGGAGACATCACTCCTTACCAAACAGCCCCTTCAATTCCCTCTTCAATTGTTCCCTACTCTCATCAACGCCACCACCAACATCATCCTCAGCCTTTATACGACTCTCTTCCTCCTCTACTAGCTTCTCCTTCCCTTTCCCTCTACTATCTCCTTTTTCCAACCTATCCCTCTCCATCTTTTCCCTTTCCCTCTCCCTCTCCCTCTCCTTCCTACTCCCCACTCTACTCGCCTGTCCCCTCTCCTCCCCACTCGTCCCCCTCCGCCTCCTCCCACTCATTCTACTCCCACCCCTCGACAACCTTCCCACCTCATCCTCACTCACCCCTCTATTCCGTCTCGAGCTTCTACCACCCCCCACTTGCGCATTCGCGTCTTGTTCCACAATTGCATTTGGCGTGTGAATTTTAGATTCATGATCAAGCCAGTTCCATTCCGTTTGAATCTGTGTTTCCGCGCGCTTTCTTTCTTTTTCTTCCTTGACGTTCTGAGCTACTTGGCCGAGACTGTGGGGGGATTCTGTTAGTATGTCATGAAGATTCTCTTCTCGAAAAAGATTCCCCCCAATCCTGAAACCCCAAACAGTTTCTTTCTTCAGAAGAAATAAAATCAACATACCTCACAGTCCCAACCCTCTGTCTCCGAATCCTCTCCACAATCCCCTCCTTCCCCCCCTCCTTCCCCGCATCCCCCTCTCTCCCTCCCCCAGGCAATATCACCCCGGACACATACTCCAAATACTCATTCCCCTTTTCCAAAAACCCCAATTTCGGACTGCGACATAAACTCGACGCATAATTACTATTATTCTTCCCGATTTCCGGGCGCGGGAAACTCTCGAACATGGAGTCAAAACTCGATTCTCCGCGTTCTCTTCTCTTTATTTCTCCTACCGATGCGCTTTCGAGAGAGGTGCTGAGTCCGCAGCAAGAGCCCTTTCGAGGTGTGATGAAGTTGGAGAGGGAGAGTGTAGGAGGGTGGGTTTCGAGTTTGGGTGGGTAGTAGATGAGGATGAGGAAACATGCTGGGTTTGGAAGGGATCCGGACTGTCAATTTTGGGATAGGGGGTTAGCGGTCTTTCTGAAACGTCCCGCGGTGTGTGTTCGGGGTGTGGAATTATTCGGACTAGACCCTTAGGTTTGATACAGGCGGATTCAATAGTGCTGGAGCGATTTGTACGACGATAGGCAGATGCGGGATGTTGATGTGGACGGGGAAGCTTTTCTTCGATGGAGACGGAGCGAGGACGAGTGGTTTTGCATGCTTTTTGATGGGGGCTGGGAAGGGCGAGAGATGAGAGAGTTGATGCGGATGGACGTCGGGTACTATCTGATGTGCTTTCAGAGGCAGAATTGGCTCGTTCTCGGAAGGAGAGTCGATCTGGGAGTGTCAGATATCTCAAGATCGAACTTTCTAGTACATAATAATATGTGAAATAGAAGAACAATAATAAAATACCTTTAGGCGTCACCTGCCCTGAATGTACCCGAGGAGAAACCTCCGTCGGGGCCTCCTCCGTTGGACAGGACGTAAATGGGCCATGATCTCCCTGACAATCATCCGAATGACTAGATGAAGCCCCATCCGCATAGGCTTCTGGAAGCTTCGCTCTCGAAACCGCTGCTTGTGATTTCTTCTGACTAGTATCGCCTTCTGTTTCTTCCCGTTCGCGATGTACATTATTCGGAAGCAATGACATCCATTTTGGAAGCGGTTTGGTCTTACTAGGCACGAATGCTTGACCAGCAGGATCGTAGATGGAGACATAGATGTCTGATGGGGAGAGGAAATTGATGACGATGAAGTAGATGGATCGGCTTGGCCAAAATGGGCGGGTTCAGTGTCGCTGTGGGAATGGGTGGAGTCGTCTGGGTTTCCGTCTTCGGATACACCCATTTTGGCGGCGTCACTTAGGAGTGCAACTTCTTCCTTTGGATGGTGTTAATATGAATGTTCAAAACTAGAATGAATTGGACTGGACACATACCTGAGGAGAAGAAGAATCTCCGTATGATTTTTCTGATCTTCCTTTCATTCATCGTAGACGATTTCAATGATTTGTCCGTCATATTCGTCGGCGAAACACTTGAAGATGGCGAAGTTGGAGAAGGCCCCGTTTCTTCTCTTTCTTCCCCATCTAATCCAACCACGAAATCTTTCTTTCCATTCAAATTCAGGTTCGAATTCCTTCCCAACCCCTTATCCTCATCCAATTTCTCCAATCTACATCTCGTCAACCCACCATCAGATTTCGTCACATTTTCCAATCCCCTCTCCAACACCTTCTTTTCTCCATACCCCTTAATCTTCGTCTCCGTCTCGCACCACTCGCAAGCGGAATTTATCCAACTCCGTTCCTTTCCTTCGATCTCCACATGCCTCCTCACCATTATTCCCATATCTTCCCTCCATTCTCACACTCACTTTCACACTCCCTCAAAACTCTTTCTCCTAACCTAACCCCGCAAAGCAAACACCCAAAACATCCTCGATGCCAAAAACACCATCCCAAAACTAACTACCTCATCGCCTCTCACAATACATTCCCCACAAAACCCAACATATACTTAAATCCAAAAACCGCTCTCCAAACATTGATGACAGACGATTCTAGATGACCGCCCCAAGACCCGTGGCGTGGAAGGTAAATATTGGGGAGACCAGCATATCGTACAAAACGAAGAGGGATCCGAGGACTTTTGGATCGTACGGAGGGCGGTTATTGTCGGAGTAAGCTGAGCGGGAGTTGGTGGTCGAGTTGGTGTTGGGTGAGTGTGGGGATGGGAAGTATGAGCATGATGAGGAACGAGAGGAGTAACAATTGGCGTGATCGGGGCACCAAGGGCTTTCGGAGAATCCGACACAGTACTTGCTAGCGAGAGGGGCGGAACAGAGATCGTATGGCGAGTGCGAGGACGGAGTTCAATGAATGTTGAAAGTAGCTGGACGAGGGTTCCTTGAACGACCCGGTCATATTTGTGCGTTCCAGAGGGCCGTGATTTCAAACCCGAGAGCGGTGTTGCTAATATTCTAATTGGGGTTGTATAACATATAGCAGATAGTCGAATGAATGAATAATTTGGACAATGAAACGAGAGTGCGTAGTTATAGTTCAAAGAATGAAAAAGAGTAAACGAAAGTAAAAAGGGTGCCAGCATGGTGTCTCAGTTACTGCTGATTGACGCGGCCCCTATGCTAGGTATATTTGGTATATTTGATGTTATTTAAGAGAAGAGAATAGGAGAGGAATTCGAGAGTCAGCGTTTGGAGAATCATGTCACCATTTTTTCTAGTAGGCAGGTGCGAGGGAAACTTAAAAACACGTAGCTTTTATTCATTTATCATTAATTAAGAAAGAGCAACCTGGAGTTTCGACCCTAACTACACAAACATGAATCGTGACCTCTTGGAACTCCGTTATCGAGAAGAATAACATAATAAAAGCTCCTAATGTAGTAATCCAGGCAAATCCAGCCACTATGAAACACATCCTCCAATTTGCGATGCATGAATATGCGATATTTCCAGGTTGACGCCGACCATATACTCCAATCCTGTTAGAAACAAATCCTGAACATACAAGATTCGTATGAATGTATAAACAAGAATAAATGGGCAATTGCCATTAATTAAGATCATTTAGTCGATGATAGACAGCTATCATTGACTGGAAATCGTCAAATCGATCACTTTCGGCTCTTTGGTCGTGCAAGCATGTTGAGTCGACTCAAAGTCAGGCCTCTTTTTTTGGCAGGGCTTGGGGTGGCATTCGAAGAGGCAACAACGTTCTTTCCAGATTGAAGTCTTGGAGCCATTAGCATAGCGCCCTCTGGAGCCTTTTGCTTCTTTGGTGATCTTGTTTCCTCTTCGCCGTCGGACTCAACTCTCCTACGCTTCTTGTTTGACATTCCATGGGGAACAGTTGGCATAACTGAAAGGTTAGTTGATTTTTTGCTCGATTCGCGAACAGGAGGGTTGGTGTTCTCCTTGTTGCCATCAGGAAAACTACCAGGCATAGCATCAGGAAATATACTTCGACGGACTTGGCGGACAGTGGCTTGATTAGGAGATGGACCAAATCCCTTTGGAGAAGCACCGAAGCTGATAGTATGATCACTGCGGAAAGTAAAGGTGCCGGGGACTGAAGGAGGAAGGTGTGGAGGAGGAGCTTGACGAGGTGGTTCTGGAAGGGGTCTAACTCCAGCGAGGGAAGGGTACTCTACTGCTTTAGTTTCAGATGTTTCAGTATCTTTTGCCTGTCCATCAGTGGGTCCTTGTTGAGATACAGGTTTGCGGGGAGCAATTGAGGAAGTGATTTTTATATTGGACTTTGATGTTGAGCGAGGAATGCCGGACTTTACTGGAGATGGAGATTGTGCAACAATAGTTTCGTTGTGTTTAGCTTCACTGTGCTTTTTTGTCTCTGGCGTGAATCCAACATGCTTCATACTCTTAGAGCGGCTGACACCAATAGGTGTTGTGGGAACAGAGGGTAGGTCTCTCGCAAGATTTAGCTTGCTTGGGCTCCTAGCAATTGAAGGAATAACCGGCGCCTTTTCTGCTTTTTTTGAGCTGAAGCTGGAGCTTGTATGCTTCAAGATAGACTTCATACGGTCGAATCTGCTTGGGGTTCGGAGCATGGATTTACTTGGTGCAGTCATTGATCCAGCAATATTGTTCATTGTAGCAGACTTCAACATACCGCGGGGGGTGCTCTGCAAATTTGGTTTTGATGGCGATCTTGACAAGCTTGGTATTTGAGTTGAAGATTGCTTAACACTTTGGGCACGAGCCAAAGATGATTGTGTGGGTGTTGTCAAATGCGCAGGAATGCCGGAGATCTTGTGACGGGGAGTAGAAGGCATTGCCATCGATTCAGTCTTGCCACGAGATATTGGTCGTTGAGTGGAAGTATCATCCGTCATGCGTTGACGAGCACGCTTGGCAGGTGCAGTATTTTCAAGTCGTTCACTCTCGGCATCTTGGGAGGAATCTTCGCTAAGGGTGGCATCTCTGTCACCTAGCTTAGCCTTCGATTGTGTGCGCTTAAGAGCTTTCGCAGTAGGAGTAACTCTGCCTGGTTGAGCTCGGAAGGAGGATGGATGATTGGCGATACTGTCCATCTTTTTGAACCTGTACGAAGTTAGGGCTGTAGCTCTTCAAATATTCAATTGCTTTGGTAGATTGAAAGTCCTTCAAATAATTCGAGACTTTCAAACAAAACTTACTCTGCCATGTGAACATCACTGTATCTACTAACTTTACCCTTCGCCTGCGCAATTCTTCGGGTTCCCGTTTGGCTACCCTCTGGATTGTTTCTTTGTTCCATCTCTCGCTCCGCAGCAAGTTTAGCTTTGATACGGAGGGCCTCTTCACGTAGTTCATCCATCATGCGTTGAGCTTCGGGACCAAGAACAGGTGCAGGTCGAGCGAATCGAAAATCGAAAGTTGGGGAGCTGATACCAATCTTTGAGGGAGTTTTTTGTTGAACACCAGAGGGCTGGTCGTCACCCTTGGCATTGATATCAACAAAGCCATGACGGAGTCCTGAGTCGGGCTTTTGTGTGGTAGATTTATGAGTCATGGATGGATGCATTTCCTCTCTAGGTGGGACAATGCGACCGGAGGTAGCTGGTGTTTGGGGCGCTTGAACAGGAGACGAAAGGTTCGGGAGGGAAGGATAGGCAGGACCCTCATCATCTTCGGCCAGAGATGTGAGTTGGGGGGTTGTATTTTGCAGTGTCTAGAGTAAGTGATAAGTACCCAGTACATAGTCCCAATATTTGCTACAATGATAATAGGAAAGCTGTACATACTTTAGCTGGAGTACGAAGTCGAGAAGAACGACGACGCGGAGGAGACGCCATAATTAATAGCGCAACACAATCGATTGAATATCAGTCGATGGTATATCCAACAAATATAATTACAGTGAGTTGTAAATAATTGAGTGTTCAAGAGAAGTGTCAAATTCACCCTTATCAATGACACGAATGAATTGTATCATGTACAATGTACGATATGGTTGTAGTTGGAAGTCAAGAATTGAATGATGAAATCGAAAACGCTAGTTATTAATAAAAGCTCTGGGGGGTTTGTTGACAATCGGGTAAGCCTGAAGAGTAAACAAGGATATAAAACGCGCTAAACTTTGATGTCACATGACACTCCGTCTATTTCAGTAGAGCAAGCTCCATATGTTCACCAGTCTTCAGCCTATGACATTCTGGCGATCTATCTGAATGTGAGCAGCAGCGGGACCAGGCAGCTTGTACAGTCAAGCAATCCAAAATCTAGATCCTTTTTCGAAACGTGCCTCGTCAATTCACGTAGGGTACGGCATCACCATCAATTGAAGCAGATTGGGACTGGGTAGTTCTAACACACAATTCGATAGAGGAGTTCAGGATTCACAAATCATAGCTAGGTAGTAGGTAGTAGGTGGTAGGTAGGTAGGTAGGGTAATATTCAATGGACGATGCTACTTCATTCTCAGCAAATCCTTCAAGAAGATCAAACTTATACCATTTCTACGGACAATCTTCATGTATAGTTGTTTATTGGTAATACAGTTGGGATCGGAATACAGAGACCTCAAGCAGATAACAGTCTTTGGAAGCACCTCTAGTCTTCGATACACTGAGATGTTATATCTGCAGTGTAGACATACCTATCTATAATGATATAGTGAATGAGTGACTCCCGCTTCTCTACAATGAAGGGGTTTATTGCAGGGTATGAAAGTTCAATGGTAATTTGTATACTGGTAGAAGCTCTTCCATGATGATTAACTCCTTACGTAAACATTGAGAAGGAGTGTCTGAACATGCAGGTGAACCGAGGTCAACAGTTTGTTACTGGTAGTGGTAATGTTATTATTGTTATTAGTATTGCTGTACCCATTTCAGACTTCACTCAAGCCCTCACTCAATCTAGACCTCACTCTATCTTTCATTTCAGACTTCACTCTAACCTTCACTCAATCAAACCCTCCCTCATGACGGTATCTCGGATCCCTATTTTGCCGCCGAAGCAAGAAGCTTGGGCCATCTCCAATCTCCATCTTTCCCAAAACAGCTCTTCTTCGATCATCAATGCAAGATGCACGCACGACAAGGATCAATTCTTCTGAACGGAATCTTCACATCCGAATGACACGATAATTTATACTTTGCGGTGCCTCCTTTGGCTCTTATATGACGATTTAAAGTTGTCAAGATATATCTTGAAAATCTTGCCCCTCAAACTTCGCTGAGTGTAATTTCTGAATACTTCGACAATTCACATTTCAGAAACTTCTCAACCAGCACATCCTGAGTGAAAGCTTCACAACTTCTTCAACATGGCTCCCAAGAAGACCACGGTCTCTAAAGTAGCTGAGCCTCATGGGTATGAGTTTGGTGGACCGTAAGTAGCTCGTTTCAACTGCAGGCTCATCGACATGTACTGATTGTCTTGCAGATTAGGAGCTTTTGGTATATCTTTTGGATTACCCCTTCTTTGCTATGCGACGACCTTTCTCTGCAATGACATTTCCGGTTGTCCAGTTCCCTCTTCGCTCTCTCCTTCGACGCTCACAATCAACAATCTCAAACAAGAAGTTGGATGGCCCGCAAATGGACTTGCGGGCTTGTTCAGTTGGGATGTGTTTCTCAAAGTAGTAGGCTACTACTTTCTGAGCATGGTTTTATACAGAGTTTTGCCAGGTGAAGAGAAGTTAGGTGTCGAACTCGCAAGTGGTGGAAAGCTCAAGTACAAGTTCAATAGTATGTACCTACACGATCGAATGAATGGTACAGCGTTTTGCTAACGAATTGCGCAGCTTGGTCTTCTACCATGTTTACATTTGCTCTATGCGCTGCAGGAACTATCGCCCAAGGAGCAGACTTCCCAGTCTGGACTTTCATCTACGACAATTATCTACAAATACTTACAGCGAACATCATCATCTCCTACGGCCTCGCAACTTTCGTTTACATCCGCAGTTTTAGTGTTAAGCCTGGCAACTCTGAACTGCGCGAGTTGGCTGCTGGTGGTCATTCTGGAAATATGCTATATGATTGGTTTATTGGAAGAGAACTCAACCCAAGAGTGACTCTCCCATTACTTGGCGAATTTGATATCAAAGAATTTTGTGAGCTACGACCAGGTCTCATGGGGTGGCTTCTGATGGATTATGCATTTGTTGCTCACCAATACAAGACTTACGGATACATCACCGACAGTATCGCGTTGATTACAGCATTTCAAACACTATATGTACTTGATTCATACTGGATGGAAAATGCTATCCTCACTACCATGGACATTACCACAGATGGCTTCGGACTCATGTTATCATTTGGAGACTTAGTCTGGGTTCCATTCATCTATTCTCTTCAAGCTCGTTACCTCGCCGTCTACCCACTTTCCCTCGGTGTCTTTGGCACCAGCGGCGTTCTCGCAGTTTTAGCTATAGGATACTACATCTTCCGTGGCGCTAATAATGAGAAGAACCGCTTCAGAACTGACCCGACAGATCCTCGTGTCGCACATCTCAAGTACATGGAGACAAAATCCGGCTCCAAACTTCTCATTTCTGGTTGGTGGGGTGTAGCTCGTCATATCAACTATGCCGGTGATTGGATCATGGCTTGGTCTTATTGTCTTCCTACTGGTATTGCTGGTTATTTAATCAACCACAGCTCGGTAGCCCCAAAACCAGGCCAATCCCTCGCAGATGGATCTTTCGTGTACAGTGGACCAGCAGTACATACAGAAGTCACGCAAGGTGCAGCTAGGGGCTGGGGTATGATCATCACATATTTCTATGTGATTTATTTCGGAGTCTTGTTAGTGCATAGAGAAATGAGAGACGAGGAGAAGTGTGAGAGAAAGTATGGTGAGGACTGGAAGAGATACAAGGAGATTGTTAGGTACAGAATCATCCCAGGTATTTACTAGACTAATGGGTAAATATATACAGGCAAAGAGCATGGAGGATGAGCTCAGTAATTGCATCTTTTTATAGATGGCAATGAGGATAGGAGAGAGCGTGTACAAGTGGTGTGTACAATGTATAATAATATTTAAGTAATAATCTATGATTCTTCTTGCTACATAATGATCAATATCATCTGTACTACCAGGTAGTAAATTATACAGGCTTCTCGCTTTGGTCATTTGTATGAACAATCTCTTCCCTGGTAAACAAGTCTTCGTCATGATGCAATTAGTATCAAGTCGGGCAGGTGTTTCTCTACTGATATCTTTCCTTCTTTCTTTATTCGGAGGCTGAGTACAAGGGCTTCAATTTTTTGATAGTCGAGAGTTGAGAGTTGGAAATGGGATGGGGATATTGTAGAAAAGATTGTAGAGGTGTAAAGGTGTAGGTGTAAAGGTACGAGTGGTGATTAACGGGTATTGAGAGCTGAGGAAGGAACTTGAGGGCTAGGGTTAGGGCTAGGGGTTTGGTTTAGGGATGGATGGATGGATGGATGGATGGATGGATGGATGGATGGATGGATGGATACCTAGGTAGGATAGGATAGGATTGAGATTGAGAGGAGATAGAAGAGGAGAAACATTGCGATTATAAAAGACTGGGCAGGTATGTATGTATTGCAAATTCCTCATTGGATTTAGGAATCGATTAAAGGGATATATATAATGAATTATTTATTATCTTTACCGATTATGGATTTTAGAGTAGAGAGTATTTCAGAGGAAATAATAGGATGTGATTGGGGTGGTGATGTAATGGTATTGAAGATTATAGGGGTATAACGGTTGTGGTGAGATTGATGGAGTTAGGTAGAGTGGTGAGATGATGAGATGAGATGATGAGATGAAGAGGAAGTATCTATTGAGAGTAGATAATATTTCGATTGTTAATTTATTTAAATATAGATTATATATATCAAGTCATATGAATTTTCTGGGTTGGTTTGGTTTCATTACCTAGTATTCTAACTGTAGTTGTTAAAAATATACTAGATACGAAGATAGGTATCTAGTAGTTACAATCATCGTATAACCCCCCAACAGAAGATCAAAAAAGTCGGGTGTATATATACAGGAAAGGAGAGGAATATTGCTAGAGCTTAAATATGCTAAATATCTTTCCACAGTCTGGAACCGGCGTCCCCCGAATATAGAGAACTATCCTGCTAGTATGTATTTCTCATTTCAATCCCAATTCGAATTCGAATTCTAACTCGACAATCGAAAATCAAAAATCAAAAATCACAACGATTCCTCCGATTTCAAAGCGTGAATGCTATCTTGAACTTACTTTGTCGGAACAGAGCAATGCGTGCGCAAACGCAAATATCGGAAACTAACCAACTATATCAGGGGAATCTCTTGCGAGATTTTACTTGAGCTCTGTGAAAAGAATTCGAGGATTGTATTTCAATTTCACATGGCATGCTGGTGAGGTTACTTATAGATTTCGCATAGCTTTAGCGGAAGAGATTGCTAACAATATCGTCTGTGTGGAGAAACTACCTAGAGCTACTGCACCAGGCTTCTTGTGAATCATAGAAGGGATCTCTAGGTGAATAGCTGGAAGATAAACTTCCTCCGCATTCATTTAAGACGGAAGGAGTGCGAGATTTCCGCTGTAAGATCTGTATCAAGATCATTCTTCACATCAGATTCGATACATTTGCGACGAGTGTTGTTTGGGGGCTTTCGACAGCATCGTCTTGTTTTATAGTTCTGTATTCTGTCGCTTCCAAAGAAAGAAAATCCGCGAAAGTTATGGAGCACAGTTGGTGAACAAATACTTTACTACTTGCTAATTCTTCCTGATCCATCTGAAGCGTCGGAGTAAAGCGTAAATATTGAACTCATTGTCAAGTGCCAAAAACCGTTGCGATATTTGCTGCATGTAAGAATTGGTCCTGAAATCGGAAATTTGGGACGGGAGAATAGAGAATAACAGCACTATTAGGAGAGATTTGCGCAGCGAAATTCACCCAGAGGTAATATCGCGTTTCTAACAGAATAAGATCAATGAAAATTCATCAACATACGGACGCTTTCAAAATCGCTGATTGACACTAGATCATTACTCAATATAGCCTTAAAGCCATCCCGTATTTATACTTCATGTCATATACAACAATGCACTAGCATATCTACAACTTTGCCTTAATTCCAGGGGCAAATGTAGTTCCTCCGCTCTCTCCACCAATAGCTTCCACAATCTTATCTACTGTATTGAGAATCCAAGCATTTCCTTCCTCACCTGCTAACCATTCTACTCCCTCTACAGGTTCTTCGCCTGCAGCCTTATATGTACCATCCTCAAACGCTTTTCGTAAACCAAATACGTGACTGGTGACCTGTGGGCCTACTCCGGTTTGTGCTCTTAAGCATGTTATACCAATCAGACTTGTGAGAACTCTTCCAATCTTTACTGGTCGTGAAGAGACTAGAATAAGAATTCAGGATAAAGACTGGAAGATCTGGATGCGATTCCGCAAGTTTATTGAGTAGTTTTGTTTCAAAGGGACGATAGATAGAATCCCATAGCCCGCGGCCTCGGGCTTTGGCATCATCAACATTTGCAGTTGTCAATTCACTGTGAATTGGTGATATATTAGCGGACATTGAGAGGTACATCGGGTGTCAATAGGCTTACCGAGACGGTGTTTTGTTCAACGAATTCATGATTTCATCTGGTAGATTTGAGCGGAACTGACCTAGAACATTGATTGTTCTGGGAATCTGAGGTGTACGTTAGGATCTGTTATAGTAATCTAGTATATAATAATGCCATCTTACCCCATTGAAACCTATACATTTTAATCCCACCTCCCTCATCTGCTCCACAGTTTTCACTGCATGCGCATGATCCTTATCCTTCGTCGCAAGTCGAAAGAGCTCTAGCATTGAATCGGGGGAATTCATGGTCATAGTCGCAGCTGTCTGCCATTGAATGATATCAGTTTTCCAAGTTTATTCTTCGACGGTTGGTGGGAATCGATGTACCGAGATCGTTAGCCATGATGGCAGTCCAACATTGTTCGCGGACGCCTCCTCTTCAATCTTTTGGAAAACGGAGCGGATGTTCCTTGGTGCAGGAGCATAGCCTGGGCGAGCATAAGGTGCACTTATGAGAGCTTTCAAGGAGGGAGAAAGTTTCGACATAATGGCAGTGATGAGAAGTGTTTGAGAAGGAAAATGAATTGCTCCATGAGATCACTTTGACGAGGTACGTACTGGAGAAGGAGATAAATCAAGGCCGAGATGAAGCTTTCGGTACCAGAATTATCGCCGATCTTTGGTGACGTATGACATAATTGTATAAATCACCTAAATACTCAAAACACATCTATTATTATTTTTCAGTATAATTATATTAATAAGCATCGTACATATGATTGAACCTCACATAACACTGAATTTCCGAGCTGTAATTTGATCATCACACGGTGTGCTAGACTTAACCATGAAATCGCATCTGAAACCCATTCAATGTTCCATTGTGAATACTCTGTAACCGATCACTCCAACCCAGTTGATGTAGAATTTTGCCAGGCGTAGTGCTTGGTATACCAATAATTCTCGTCACTACCACAGCCTCTGCAGCAATTTACCTCAGAAATTGTATTTGAAATGAATGATTGGAATTTGCAGGTACCAGAAGTACCGAATTTACATCATGACAATGTTACTTCTAAAAAGCCTCACAAGCAAGCTGCATGCTTAAGTTGTCGACGCACCAAGACTCGCTGTGTTCGTGAACCTCCTAATATCAATTGCCAAAGATGTCGTCAGAACAATACGGAATGCCTGGTACCAGATTATCATGTCGGAAGGCGAAAAGGGATCAAGAAGTAAGTCCTAGCCATACATTCCCAACTTGTTAGACATCTTCTAACCTCAATTCAGCAAACGGAGTGGATTAGATAAAGCTGTTCATCAGCTTGAAAAGGCTATGAAAAGCTCCAAGAATGATAATGTACCCCAGGATGAACAAAGACGTCTACAGTTCCTTCTCTCCGAAGCCGAGAATCTGGTTTCTGGAAGTACTGACAATATTTCCACGCAGCTTATGGAGCAGCCAATCCCTCGAAATGACATGAACAGTGGGTTACCAGAAGCTACTAATCTATCATTATCCAGGGCTCATGAATCAATTGGTCAAGTCGAGATGGGCAGTGTCGCTTTGGATGATGCTGAGAATCCGCTGCAGCTCCTGGCTCGGGCATCAGATCTTGCAGATACTGCAACCAAACAACTGCACCTGCCTCCCCCGTTAGTAGAAACAGGAGAGCTTCGTCGATTCTTTGGACCCTTTCAACCACGGCTTGATGTTGGAAGTGATATTGATCCTATCGATATTGGTTTGGTGACTCATGAGGAAGTGACTCTGCTTATAAAATAGTGAGTCGCGCCTATGATACTGGGGGTTTCAATAGTCCGAACAGCAGTTGATCGGTGAGAAATGCGCAGTTCTTGAAATTGGTTAGAACACACTTCAGTCAGAATATTCGATTGATTTGAAGTATTGAATCCAAACAGCATTCTAAACATCGAAAGCTCTCAGATTATACCAAGTTTGCTCATCCGAACTATTGAAACTCCTTAAATTTGCCTCGGAAGGTTATGTCAATGTTGCTGATAAATTTAACAGTTTCTATGCAAATCTATCACATACAAGATGGGGCCTTGATCCTTCTGTTCATACGGCAGACTTTGTGCGCTCAAGATCTGCGTTTCTCATGACTTCTATGTTAGCTGTATCCGCGCTTTTCATTCCCTCAGGAGAGGCGCTATCGAAGCGTCTTTCTAAGCACAGTAAACACCTCGCTCACTATGTGATATCAAAGAGGTACAGATCACCAGAAATTGTTCTCGCATTCATGGTTAATATTCCATGGATGCTACCAGAAGAGCATTGGGCTGATGATGAGACTTGTTCTTACATGGCAATGGCGCACTCTATAGCCCTTGATGTATCTCTAAATAAGATCATCGTAAAGAATACCGACAATCTTCAAACCGCCATTCCAAAGTCAGAATGCATTACTGCAAGGAAGGCTCTCGACATGGACGGTTTTATTGAAGTTGGCCCTATGACGCAGTGGGGCCAAAAGCTGATTCGCCGGCGTGAAAGAATATGGCTTGCTCTATTTAATCTTGATAGAGGGTAAGTCTCTCGCTTCGAAGTACTATTCAAACAAGCTAAGATCATTCCACAGCGTGTGCTTGGCACGAGGAAGAGCTTTTACTGTTCAGATATCTCCCTTCGTTGCAACTTGTGACGCTTGGCATAATTCTAATCTCGCTGATACCTGGGATGGATCAATTGTAGCTTCATCTGTTTTACGGCGAGATATTGTATGTTATTCTTGAGAAGTTTGTACAAAGACTAATGGTGTGATAGGCCAAAATCATTACTCGTATAAAAGATACCTGCGACAAGACTGTATCCACAGTATTAGAAGGCCATGACATTGCCCAGACTCTTCGACAAACAATCGATGACTTTTTCGATCACTGGTATTCAACCTGGACCCCAGAGATAGGGAGAAACAAAGACCTCCGCCTACCTCCTTATGTAGAAATCCTTGTTTCTCACACCCGTCTTGCTATATACAGTAACGTCCTTAACTACCCCACCCGATTCCCGGCAGTCTCTTCTTACTTTCGTTCTGCTGGTCTGTCATCTGCATTAAATGTTATGAGAGCTGCTGTCCAAGGAGAGCCACTTCTCAAGTCCATGCCCAATAATACAGCAATTATGGTATCATTTTCAGCATGTTTTGCGCTTCACTTGTCCGCGATGGCTGCGAACAAGAACTCTGGTCTAAGAGAAAGCATCAAAGTTTTGATAGAGGAGACTGCAGATGTTTTGGAAAGGATAGGAAATATCACTCCCCACAGAAGAGGAAGTTCTGCTTTATACGGTAGACACCTGAAAGAAATCATTTGGAATTCCGCAGCATGGCGAAGATCTGCTCCATCTGATCTATCTGTTGTCAATTATGAACAAGTAGGACGCAATACTGCCCAAGAGGCGCAGGAACCAAGACTGGAGCCCGGTTTCATCGAGCCGCTTCAATTCTCTACCATGTCAGATCATCAGATTGTCGAATTTTTCGACAATGAAGAAGTGACTCTAGGGATAAGTCCAACAAACTTACAGCTAGGTGACACAACCGGAATGGAATGGCTGGATTGGTTCGACTTTTATGGAACAGTTCAGAATCAATAGCATCTTCATAATAAACTTTTTGATCTTTCTGAAATGACTCACACTTGCTGTCTAATATACACGAGATGAAGGGAGTAACGTGTCACCCTGTCTACAATCACATGATCCGGGAAATTGCTTCTTGGTTGAACCCTCCCCCCAAACTATTTCCAATCCAGCAATTCTAATCTTCCAAATTAGTTGGAATTTTTCTTTCTCAGGAACACTGATAAATCGGACTATTCTGAAATCACAGGACCTTGAAAGAAGAAGAGAAATCCATCACATCACCACATCTCCCATGTCTCAATCATTACTGATTCACAAGAACACGACGAATATCCACTCGCGACATTCAATTAATGAAGCTGCCAATCAACACTCAGAATCGCTTACGCAAGTGATTCAGGGGTGGCGATTTAATCGCCATTGATTAGCGATAGAGGACGGAGAGGAAATCTCTAGACACTTACTTTCTAGTAATCCAGTTTATCATGAGATCAAATGAACCCGGAGGAGATAATCACGAATAATTTTCACCACGGGATTGCAGGAGGAAAATTTTGTAGATCCTGTTTCGGTCGGAGAATGTTCTGGTGGGTTTGGAGGGTAGATTTAGGATTGTATTTTCTACTTACTCGTACATATTTCTGATACCAATGCAGTATAGATGCGGAAAAATCAGGGAGCTTTCTGAAATCGCTGGAGGGAGTTTAAACACTGTTTGCTTGATGATCGTTTGGGATAGAAGTTGTGGACGGGAATCTTTTCCTCGGACTTGAAGATATCGATTTATCTACCTAGTTATGTTACCGATTCATATACATGCATGTATGTATAGATACTTCCAAGCAAATGAATCTCCTTACAACTAAATCGAAATCCGGGATACAATATCTCATATTTCATATATATATACAAAATTATTCATTCACTCACTTCTATATTCCACCACAAAGTTCAAACAGAATCATCGAATACCTCCAGGCTAGATACTCACTCGCGGTCCCCATCAGTATCCAATCTTGCCTGCCTCCCTATCTAACCCCTCCAATCTCGCCGTCCCGCTGCCGTTTTGAAACCGATAATCGAAATCATGATAATATAATATAGAGCAGCAGAAATGGGAAGAAAGAGGGGAGAAGATTTCTGGAAGGAAACTCTAAGAAGCCGAATGATTAGAAAGGAAAAGCTAATTTGATCCTGACTCTTAGTCCAGAGATATATATCCCATCCCATCCCATCCCATCCCATCCCATCCCATCCCATCCCATCCCATCCCATCCCATCCCATCCCATCCCATCCACCACACAAGAACTCCACATTCGAGATACGCATCTCAAAAACCCAGAAGGTTCCTGTGCATGGAAAGAAAACACAGATTAATCCAACCGCGCCTGAGTAAATATCTATCTATACCCAAAAAGTCTAGTAAAAGAAACCTCACACGACCAACCATAAAAAACACACATTTCGCAGAAGAGAAAGAGAATCCACCAATATTCCCCTCTCAATTCCATACACATATATCGTATTCACAAAAAGCCCATTGATTAATAAATTATCATTACAACCCACTTGATTTCCATTGACGAACAACCTAGTATCTAAATAGCCTACTTCCCTTTTTACTATATGCGGAATAGCAGCATGTATTTACTCTGTGACTACCCCTTCAAACTATCCTTTTGATCTAAGATGATATTCATCTCTCAATCTCCAACACGAGATGAAGAAATTGTAAACGCCAAACTCACTTAGTGCGCTCCCTATCCATATGATTAATATGATATGACCGACCCCTGATGCGATGCCATACGATGCCGATGAATTTCTTTAAATGAAGATAATGATGATGTTGATACAGGCGGTTCCCAATTTTTGTGTCCCTCCATTGGCAATAAATACTATCCCTCCGTCGAGATTTCCCCACCACTATTTCCACCATTGATATGCTGACTACAGCCATTATTCCCCTTCAACCTTCCATCAGTATCTACTTCCATCTCCATCTTCATAGCCTCTTCATTCTCCCTCATTAAATCTTCTTCCTGCATCCTTAACTCTCTTTCCTCTTCCGTTTCTTCTTTCATCTCTCCCTCTCCCTCACCCCCACCCTCACCCTCACCATTAGCCATCTCCAGATCTTCCGATCCTGTCGTAGGCATCTCTTCCG